TTGAAAAACTGGACAAGTAAAATTACAAGTGACTGTGTATATTTCTATGTATTAAACATTAATCAGTTGGGACACAAGTGTGATAATATTTGTGTAACGTGTAGTGTAATAGTTAGCAGTAATTTTAGTGTAATTGTCAATGTAGGTAAGAATAGATTAAGTGGTAATGATTTAAATGGATTTTACAATATAGTAAATTAACAAGATGGTCACAATTAGAGAACTTACTTTCTCATTTAGATCTGCTTTTTAGATAAGTGATAACAAATTTGAGTATTACATTCAAAAAATCTTTTGAGAATATAGGCTATTTTAAATCGATATACAAGTTATAAATGGTATGTTACATTCAACACATTTTCATGTATACCTCTTTTAACTTGTCTATATGACAACAAACCTATTCATATTTAAAATTTGTTTTTAATTTAACTGTTTGACACTGTATTTTAAGTGCAATAAATTTTACTCTAGTGATTATTTTATTGATAATATAACCTAAATAATAATAAAACTTTATATATATTTACTAGGTATATATAAGGTTTTATTAATTTAATTTCCCTAAAAATATTTCTGTAATGAATTGAAGTTTTCAAAATATCAGTTTCCTAAAATTCAAATTAGTTTAATATTCTGGTAGACCTTACAGCTGATTATCGGACTACCGACGTCATAGAATGCGGTGTTGCCTTTTTTACTTCATGGCTTGGAAGTAAAGGTGGCTGTGGCTCAACCCATACTACCTATGTTAATGCAACAGTTGGATATTTTACAAAAACCTGTTTTTTCTGTGTTACAGATAAAATTTTTAGAAAATTAGCATTAAAGCTTATGCTCGAATATTAGGAAACTAATAGCCAATAAAAATCTAAAAGCTTTTAGTCACCTATTTCTGATTTTTAATATGACATGCAAACTTTAATCCTCATTATCTTGTAATTTCAATTTGACATGATATCTCACTGTTACTTTCGATATGGTACCACTAATTTTGGTTAAATTAGTGAGTTAAACAATGTACCCCTTACTTAAATCAAGGCACATGTAAGTAGAATAAAAAACATTTGGATCATGTTAAGGTTCTGGTTCATTTCAACTTCAAAATATTGCTAAATAAACAACTCGTTATAGATGCGTCCATTTATTACAAAAAATAGCTAAGCAGTTACATTTAACTACAGATTTGTCATCTCGTCACTCATAATGTATAATTTACAATAGTTAATTTGACTACAAAAATAAAGGTCAGTGAATTATGAATGATACCTATAACAGCTTAAATATTACTGATCAACATTATTCTTATCTAGATTATATTTGTTCAGAATATAATAGGGAGTATAAAAGTAAAATGTACAATAAACTTGTACTGCTTAAGTTTTAAGAACACTGTTTTTTGTGATTAAAAAGTTGGAATGGTGTTAAAATCAACTCCGACAATAATTCAAAATTTTGCATGTGGTAAATTTTATGGCGAGGTTTTTTCAAGTATTATATGTGTTTTACACTATCTCTATTATCTTCGACTTGTTTTCATCATTACTTTAATTTTCTTCTTTTTTTAGCTGATACGTCTATTGGAATCATTCGAATCCATTTTCTTGTACCGAGATAAGAACTACCATGCATGTCGACCATTCAGAGGCTCAGTTCTTGTCAGTACTGTTTATTATCTAAGTTAAAGCGTACTAAAGTTAAATCTAAGTTTATTATAATTTAAACACCTAGTTACTTTGGAACCCTTTCCAGACAAGTACGTCCACCTCGATGTTTACAATTTGGTTATCTATTGTTTCACTGAGTTCGTCTGTTTGTACAGATTGTTAATTAATATATATTTTGTACATACAGTTGCTAAAATCTGCTTATTTGCGTTTTTACGGAGCGATTTTTAAACACCTTTTTACTTCGACTAGAGATGGAACTCCCCAATCCAAACATAAACCTAGCTAATATTTCAAACAGTGCTACAACACCAGAAAGTCATACTGAACAAACTACAATAGACGCAGCAAAAAAGTGCCATCAAATCAAATTAAACAAGGTGCAAAGAATTTCAAGGGCTCTGAGGGATATACCAAAAGCAGCTATGGAGGAACTACTAGGCATCATTCCTATGAAAATCGTTATAAGGGAGTAAGCGAGAATGGGATATTATTGACCGTAAGAAAATCTCAATAACGTAATGATCAGGGAATGGTAATATAAATGGATGGCGCCCAAATACAGGCCTAAAATAACTTTCCAGATGGACATCTACCCACTAGAGTGATGGGGTAGAGGAAACACGCAATCCAGATTTCTCTGCAAAGTGATCAGTTGCAAGAGTAATGGTGGAAATGTAAAAATTTATAATCTATCAGGCGAAATATACGTCTGTCAAGGCAGGAATTAATCAAATCTTGCATTGTGCAACACAAATTAACATGAGGACTTTTGAAATTAAATGGATCAAAATATGCACCGATAATTATTAGGAAAAGTTTGAAAATATGAGAACAAAGTGATTGGAGAATACCAGGAAAGTTTTAGATCAGCAAGAACAACTACTGATCAAATAAGTATGTTAAAATTAATACACAATAATAGCTACGATCAAAACTTAGGATTTTATCGATATGACTCCCTAAATCGAACGATGCTATATCAGGCCATGAGAACATTAGAAATACCAGAAACGCTTATAAGGCTAGTAAGAATCACGCTTAGGAAAACGATGAATAGAGTAACAATAGAAGGAAGCTTTTCAAGAGAGTTCATAGTGAATAGAGGTTTAAAACAAGGGGATCCGCTATCAACGAATTTATTTAACCTAGTATTAGAACAAATCGTAAGAAGATCAAATATAAGTACAAACAGAAGTTTTCAGAAATTTAAAGAAGAAGACGGATTAATAATAAATCAAACAAAAGCGCATTATACGGAAATGAGAAGAGACATAACAAATAATAACACAGTGATGTATGCCAGTGAAACGTGGATTATGAAATCTGGGAAAGAAAGGTGCTCAGAAAAATCTTCGGAGGAATGAATATTTGGAGAAGACGAGCGAATAAAGAAATAATGAGGATGTATGGAAAACCAGTAATTACGGCAAAAATGCGAGCAAAAGAGCTAGATGACTTGGTCACATTATACGAATGCCACAGAATCGAAATGTTAAAACAATACTGAAGGAGGGAGAAACGGGGAAAAAAGAAGAGGAGAAAGTCCAAAGAAGAAGTGGTTGGAAGCAGTAAAGGACTTGTCAGAAATACGCGTAAGAAATTGGAGATAGAAAGCAAGAGACGAAAAAAATGGAGGGAAACAACCAAGTTTTTAGTAGAAGGCCTGTAGCGCTGTTGTATGCTATGCCGGTATATTTATATATATTTATATATATATATATATATATATATATTATATATATATATATATATTATATATATATATATATATATATATGCGCACCGATAGTAAAGTGGCTATGGAGGCTCCTGGAAGCCCTAATTTAGACTTTGGTCTAGTGTCTGAATGCCAAGAACTCTTAAGACTTTCGGAACATACCGGTGTTTGTAATAATTTAAAAAATATTTTCGCAGATGCTATTTCTGTAGAAACTGTTAATAATGGAATCGCTATATGTAAACGGTAATTACAATTCAAAATCAAAACAAATTTCAATAATGTTGATCAGTTAACTAACCAAAAAATACGTAATAATATATCAGTTACAAATTATATCTTTTTTAGTACAAGGGCATTACTGATAGATACAAAGAGCCAAATCAAACAGAGGTCGGTAAAATTGAAACAGAACTTGTCAAATCTAGAAACACGTTCTCTGTAATTAGTCCCCAGTTGTTTCCTGAGTTTTTTAGTTATAACGGTTCAAAAATGAACTTTGTATTTTAACTAATACTCAAATATTAACAACACTGCTCACTCTAGGAGCTAATGTAGTCAGCACGTCGTTGAAGAACAGGATCTCTCTCTCCTTCTCTCTCTCTCTACGATGACGTTACAACACAAGTCGGGCCCTGACCTCCTCCAGCATCCCTTTCCTTGGCTGCTTCTCTCCAGTTATCCACCGTCAATATATCTTTAGCATCGGTTGTCACTTCATCCAAAAGAGCAGAAAAGGATATCTCTTGGGAAATATTAATACTTCTTATCTACGGAATGAATATACAAGGGAAATAAATTGTAGAATAAATAGAGAAATTTATTCTACAATTCACTTTATGAAAGTGTTAAAGTCGAATGGTTTCTAAAAAAAACAAAGGAAAAACTGGACATACTAGTTATCAAATCAATAAAGCTTTATGGGTGCTGAGTTTACATTTATAAAAAACGGAAGAACCAAAGCTAGAAATATGGAGAGGAAAATATTAAGGATAATAAATGGAGAAAAAATTAATGACGTGTAGATAAGAGCAAACAAAGAACTAATGAAAGTATACAATAGCCCCACAATAATATCACAAATAAGGGCACAAAGAAGTAAATGGTTAGGAGAAAATCCTTGATAAAGCGAGCGTAATTAAGACAATTCTAAAAACTGGCGAAGTAGGGACGGGAAGTAGAAAAAAACCCAAAAGAACTTTAAAAAGTAAATTTTTCTATAGGATGAATCATTCATTTCTTTTGTGACCTGTATATATGATTTATATATACTTTTAAAATGGTCCACTTCTCATCGATCGTATGAGATGGCACAGTGATCGATGTATGGAAAAATGTTCTGCAATTTGATAGCCCTCCGCCCCTCTTTTATGCATACAGTCGATGGCTTGCAACACGCTCCAGATTTAACGAGCTCCACTAATACTAGCTGTGTTTCTTCAAATGCAATGAATCTTATCTATAATGCCCTTGACAACATTCGGTTCAAATGTAATCACTACCGAAATGCAGTAAAATACTTCCATTTAAAAATATCTACATTAAATAAATCTTTATTTGTAGACGACGAAGTATTTTATTGCATAAACTTTATATTATATGAAACAAGTAGATTATTTATATTTATCACCTTCTAGTAAATTTTCCCACTCTATTGGAACACCAAATACTTCTTGTTCTAACCACAATTCGTAGTGTTTTTTAAAGCTTTCAGAAAGATCATGGCTAGTACCTAAAACGCTATTAAGACAATTATCCACAGGCTCGAAATCACTATCCTAAAACAGAAAAAAAATTAGTAGGTATTTTCGTTCAAAAATATATAATTATACTTACATTTATTAGAGTATATCTACGATTATTAAATCTATCTACAGACGCTCGCAGAGCACATTCCTCGGCTTGAAAATCCCATGGCCTCGCATCTAAATCTAAAAAAGTTTATTGAAAATTAAAATGGAATTTTAAATTTGACTTATGCAAAAAAATTTACAAGAAAACCTCTGTCATATCCCCAGGGAATATTCCACAAAAAATTGTCAAATTAATACCTCAGACTCGCATAGTCTCGCCTCAGACTCGCCTCACGCATAGAACGCATCAACATATGGAAAGGATTTAATATTAATATAAGGAATGTACGGATTATTTTATATAGCGCTGGTTAATTCGAAACAGCATTGTATACAACACTCCATCGCAATATCTCCATTATAAAATAGTCCCATTGTCTATACAAATTAAATTTGATAGAGAACAGATACAGAACTCCAAATAGAATAAAAGTGTGCAGATAAAAGGAAATAGTTAAGGTAAGACCTGGACCGTAAGTAGACGTCACAGTTAGCTGATATCGATAGCTTATCTAAGCAGAGTATAGGCCACTTGAGCGTGGGAAAATTTTGACGTGTGACGTCACAAGATGGCGGCCGACAGCTGTCAACTGTCATGTCAACCGTCAACTCTCAAACGTGAAGATGGTTTGCATGGTGCGACCATGCAAATTTTCTCTGTAACCATACGTTTCGTTTCATATTCTTTCCATTTCCTGCGATTCCTCACATGTCATTGTACGTCAAGCCGTTTCAGCGCTACAAACCTAATGCCTCTTTGACCAGTCACCATGTTTGATTTTTGTCATTGTATTCTTTATGTTATATCCTTTCCAGCGCTACATAAATTGCTTTGACTTTCTAACTATAGCCTGTATATAGCAAGAAGTGATAGACGGAAAGAAGAAGAACGATGATACGTCGTAGTGTCTTCATGATATGACGCTGTCTATTTTAAAATAACCTACTTGTATACTTATAAATAATAATATTACTTAATCTATACGCCGTTCTGTGTTTATGGCATATTGTCTTTGTATTCTATACGTAATACCAGGGTCGTGGAGGCGTGGGGTACGAGGATACGTCGGGGTGTGGGGGCGTGGTGCCGAGAATACGTATTGGTCGGGGCGCGTGACGAGACATGAGATATGAAAAGTGGAACACGAAAAAGAAGAAGTGTGAAAAGAAAAAAAATTGACGCCATTTTCACGTTGGAGAGTTGACAGTTGACATGACGATTGACAGTTGACATGACAGTTAACAGGTGACATGACATTTAACAGGTGACATGACAGTTTTTACATGACAGTCACACGTCAAAATTTTTTCACGCCCAAGTGGTCCATATTCTGCTTATCTATATTTATCAATTTTCAATAGCTTCCATTGTAAACACAAAACAGATACTTTATGTACCCAGGCATTTTTTATAGAATTATTTTTTTTTTGTTTATTGTCTTATTTAACTCAGTTAAATTAATGAGTAAAGATTTTTGAAACGAAGCGCGTACGGTCCTGATTTCTCAGTCTATCGCCAAACTACTACACATCTGCCACTGTGCCAAAATGAGGGTACAAACATTCACAAACACACAAAGTTTCAAAAATTGTTGAAACGGCTGAATCATTCACAACAAAAGAAGAATATGGCTATATTCTAGAATTGCCATGAAACGCAGGACATAAGAGAAGGGTACAAAGAAAAGAAAAATAGCTAAGCCAAAGAAATAAAGAATGCGAAGTACTGCCATTGCAAAAATCATTTTGGCGCACTGAAAAATTGAAATTTGTGGAGGTATTGTTGAAATTTAGTATTAATATTGTTTTTCACATTGTATTTGTATTATTCTAATGTCACTGTCAAGTTAGTATGACATATGACAGTTTGTAAGTCAAATAATTTTAATAAAAAAACATCACTATTAAAAATACACATTTGCCTGTTTTATCTTCAATAAATTATAATCCACAAACTAGATTTTCAACTCGACAAAATGTATGTCGTAGCGGAAACTTGGTCGGAGCAATGGTAGCAAACACTTTGTTCCGTCTGCCGAAAAGAAGACTTTATACCTTAACAAGAACAGTACCTGGAGATAAACAGAACAACATCATAGGGAATCAAACAGATTACCTATTGATAGACAATGATGTAATGAACTAGATGAACTACAAAAGAAGCATGATCATTTCAAAATGTACAAAAAAAAATTAAAGAAATAACAATAAAATAATTCTTCAACATCAAACATGAATGGAAAAGACACAAGAATGGTAAAATACTTACACGAACTCGCCAAGGACAACAGAACAGAACCAGAATTAAGAGAACATAGTATAGCGGAACAAACGCTTTCCATTACATCAAAATAATAAAAAATATTACTTTAGTATCTTACCATTTCCATATGCCCAATCATCATTAAGGCGATGTCTAACTTTTTGGTAAATTGCACTTATTGTCTTCATATTAGACTTCCTCCACTGCCTTCCCAAGTATTTTGTTTGCATTTTCAATAACTTTAAAACATACAATTGTGTCATCGCATGACGCACTTTTAATGTTCGTTTTAATATTGGGGCGGATTTGAAAACAACAAGCATCTGAAACAAAATTGATAACAAATAAAGTGTAGTAAAGTATAGTAAAATGTAATGGCATATCTCGCAAAACAGAAAACCAAAATAGGTATATCGATGCAGCCAAGTTAAAAAAGGAGCATTTTAGCTAGGGAAAGGATCACTACAGAAGCCATTTGTGTATTATAGTTAGAAGATCCTGATGGTTTCCAGGGCAACAACTAACAATAACTACGGAGGAAGCTACAACTACCTGAGGAAAGGTATGCCAAACGTTAAAACGACATGTCATTGCATGTAACTTTTATTATTCACTCGCATTAACCTTTTCTATTTGTTTTAAACGTTTTAACGTTTGGAAATTCTTTTCCTCCGTGGTTATTGTTAGCTGTTACCCTGGAAACGATCAGGGTCTTCTAAATCTAATACTACAAATTGGTCGCATTCATTCATTCATATCCAGCAGTTAGTTCTTTCATGTCCAAATAGTTTTAACTTGTTAAAGTACATAGTTCACAAAACTTGGGGTGTCGATGGTAAAACACTACTCATGTTATACAGATCCTTAATTTTTTCCAAAATTGCATCTGCCAGCACAACAACGTTAAAACCCTTAGATACGTTACATAACACGTCCCTAGGGATAAACACGATCCTAAATAGGACTTGACATCAACACATATAAGACCAAATTTATTATAGTATCAAGGAGTCTAATAAATAATGAACAACTAACCCTTGGTCACAGAATAATAAACAAACAGAATGCCCACTCTCCACGGAAAATTAAGTACGCGCATCTCCTTCGCGCAGGCGTTCCGCCATGTTTTACGAGGATTTTAAAGGGAACCAGGGTTGTTTATGTGGTGTGCATGGAAAAAAACCAGGTTTATTTGATTTACGGCAATCACAGACATACTATACAATTATATTAACAGTTTTAAATATAATAACATAAATATAATATAATTAAACATAAATGTAAACAATTGCATAACCTCACAAATCATATGTTTGTGTCCTCCTAAAACATGGCGCGCGTGCTGAAAAACTTCAAAGGCGGCATCTGAGAGTGGCCCTTCTGATTGTTTATTATTCTGTGCCTTGGTGGACAGCAAATACAGAGAGTGACAAAATATAAATATCTGGGAGCTTGGCAAGTGGAGCGTTCTTAAAATTCAAGCAATTATTCTGTGACAAAAATCTGAATACTGCGCTGAGACTGGTGGCTGAAGTGCTGAGAAGGATGGGTCGAGACAAAAAATTGTTGAGAACAATAAAAGTACGCAAGACTGCATACCTTGGACACATACTGAGGAATGATAAATATAGTCTTCTGCAGGTCATCATGCAGGATAGAGTGGATGGCAAAAAGGGAATAGGTAGAAAGAGGAAGTCATGGCTGCGAAATATTGGAGACTGGACAAACATGACTGTAGACGAATTATTCCACGTTGCAAAAGACAGAGAAACTTTTAGAAATGTGGTCGCCATCCTCCGTTAATGGGGACGGCATAGGAAGAAGAAGACAATAAATAACATTTTAGACATATCCATGACTAATGACTCTTCAAATTTTAATCTCCGATATTCACGCAGAATATATAATGCAGTGAACTTACTTAACTGTAAGCAATTTCCACCCTTATATCAATACAAAAATATATCTTCATCTTCACCTTGGTTTATAAAAATTCCAACAGTCAATTACAGTCTATTACAATTCCGAAAAAATAGCACCAACCCTAATCTTATCATACAACTTTTCAGAGATCTAATAAACTCCCATTCCGATTACACAGTATAGTATAGACGCGTCTAAAACTGAAAATGGAGTCGAAATCAAGACAGATTCTATGCCATCACTACAAATAATCAAGAAAATATACACGCAGAATCCAATAGCTTTACTAATAAAGGAGGAACTAAATAAATGGCATACCAATGATACAAGCATTAACTTTGTCTGGGTCCCATCACATGTTGGAATAGCAGGTAACGAAGCAGCAGACAAAAATGCCAAAGTTATAAATGACAACAACAGTATTCCAATATCACCCCAATCTATAAGTGTGGATCTAAAAGGCTAATTCATAAAGCAACTGTTCGAGATCTGGAACAATAAATGGAAATCCACACCGTCAAAGCTTCAAGAGATAAAAAATAAGATTGGACCATGGCAACCACCCGAGGTATCCAGACGAATGCAAATAATTATTTCCAGTTTACGACTTGGACATAACCAGTTTTCTCATAAACATTTGTTTAAGAAAGAAGAACGCCCAATTTGTGAGTGCGGTTCACCCCTTAGGTAAAACATGTGCTAGTGGAAAAGTGCAGAATTTTCAGAAGTCACAGAATTAAATACCATTTACCAAACAATCTTAAAGACATTTTAAATTTAAAAAAAAAAACACTATAGATATCCTACATTTGTTTTTAAAAGACTTTATTCACTAAGTGTAATCAATTGTTCTAATTCCGCTAATAACCTTATTAGGTTGAAGCGGGTTTTTGTAAATAAAAAAAGTAATTTAAGACAAATTTTATTGAATTTTCGAAAATTGACTTACTAACTTATCCAGTTCTGGTATATTAGTAGAGAACGTATTGGAAGAATATAGGATCTTCTAATACTTATTTATTAATATAATGCATCACAAAATACACATAATGGGTATGAAATATTAATTTCCAAAGTTAAATCTTACAGCTATCTATAAAGGAGTTAACAGTAGTTATGATCCCAGATAAAAACTTGTTTATTTTTGCATATTATTTATTATCACAAATATACGACTTACCATTATTCGAGAGTGCTTCCATTTTGTTAATTTATTTAATATCCTAAGTAAATTTATACAAGAAAACATATTACGCCAAGAAAAGGCGGCTAAATCACCAATTTCTAATCTTTCAGAGGTAAGTTCAGGTTGGTCGCCAATTACACAAGAAGGAAAGTCCAAAATGGGTATTCTAAAAAATACAAATTATAAAGGAGGTTAAAGAATTGAATAAATACACGGATGTGAATTAATCCAGGGTTTACACTTACACATTTTTTGCTCCAATATAGGCCATAATATTCTGATTAAAAAACTTCAAAACAAGCGGTATGCAATTGGCAAAAACTAGGTGTTGCGACATAAATTCAAACTGATAAATATGATTTAATTTTAGATGTTTTAACAACAATAATAAAATTGCCGATACTGCTTTAACAATAATTTCTTTGTGCCTATTGACATCGATTCCTAATTTCATTGACTGCAATACAGTCATCCTGAAAAATAAAATACACGTTTAAACAAACTTTAATTTATTTGGAATTTATACAAAATCAGATTTTTTCATAGTTCTTAGTAGAGAATATTGATCATCATTGCAAAGTATTCTAGTTGAAATTTCACGAATGCATCAAATTCAAGTGATTCTATAGTCCTTCACACGCTGGACTATATGCCTCTTTTACTATTCTTGTCATTTTTCAATAATTATATCTGTATTTACCGTTACATTGTTGCCAGTTCCATTTTCTGTCAAGCGTCTCAATCTTGTGGCAATGTCTGTGTTCTGTGGTATCAGTTACACAGTTTACCTAACTATACTGCCACCTCGTCGTTTTCTTGTTCTCATTATGTATGTCATTATTTATTACATTTCATATAATTTTTCATGAGAATATTTCTTTAAAAAATTAACTAAACTAAACGTTAATATATTCCAGCGATGAAGATAGTTCTTAACTTCGCTGAATGAGTTTAATGGGCCCGAATAATTTTAAAATGTAAAATTTAAGTTAGGTGTTTTTATTTAAATCAACAGCCTATAATTGCATTGACACAATGTAGCAATTGTAAATTCCTTGGTATATATTGAAATCCTTGAGGTACGTAGTTGTGCATCGCACGCCACTGATGTGACTGGATGCAAAATATTAAAAACTTAACGAATTTATTGATTTACTAAGAAGAATACATTAAATTATTGACTTAATATAATATTATCTGTTTAATATTAAAATATCGGGGATAACTACATTCAAATTAATCACCTGTCAAATTCACGTCAGACATTGTAGCCCATAAAGGTCGATTCAGACACATCAGTCCCGTCATAGTCTCGGCGCCGAACCGGTCGTGTTTGGTCACAGAACTATCAACTATCTGACAGCTGGGAAACTGTTTGTCAACTGATGGGTGTGAATGCCGGCAACATATTTGTATTAAAGAATATTTTGTATGACGGATTGTTCGGTTCGGCGCAATCACTGTGACGAGACGTGACTGATGTGTCTGAATCGACCTTTAAGGTAGATTTAGACACATCAGTCACGTCTCGTCACAGTCCTGGCGCCGAACCGAACAATCCGTCATACAAAATATTCTTTAATAGAAATATGGCGCCGGCATTCACATCCATCAGGTGACGAACAGTTTCCCAGCTGTCAGATAATTAATAGTTCTGTGACCAAACAGGACCGGTTCGGCGCCGAGACTGTGACGAGACTGATGTGTCTGAATCAACCTTTACTATGACGTCAGTTCCGTCGTTGATCAGTTACAATCGATGATAATAACCTTTAGACAAGGAAAGAGAGAGGACAGGTAACATTCATTTAATAAACTTTCGAAAAGTGAAGCCAGTTTCGATGTGACCGCCATATTTTGTGACTGTACGTTACCCATTACTACCTCTCGCAGGGTTACCAGGTCTAATGATTTTACTGATCAGTAGATCTACTGATTTCAACTTAAATTTACTGATTTACTGAAACACTATATCGATCTACTAAAAAATATGTGATGATAAAATAATGTTCAAAAATAGATCATTATGTCAGTGTTCAATTTTAAATTAAAAAAAATCTGTTTATTGATATATATCATTATTCTCGATCTACTGAAGAAATAAAATATGACCTGGCAACTTTTCTGGTGCCGGTTGGTGCCAATTTAGGCATCAGTCAATTCTATACGATTACGCGTCAGTAATAACATATAATTGAAGACATGAGTGGATGAAGGTGCTATGTAATATTTTTCTAAAAACGGTTTTTTTTGTATGGATGAAGGTATTATGTACCTGTTTATCACGTGGCCACATTAGAATTCTAAGATTCGTAACAGAAGTCTAGGTTTTTTAAAGGATGAAGGAGTTATGTTACATTATTTTCCAGTGAATAATGGAGAAGGTGTTATAGGCACAAAATACCTTCATCCACATTCATGTAATATTTTGTATACCTTCGTCATATGAATGATGGTGTTAAGTGACACACATAACCCCTTCATCCACTCACTGGCCATTTTGTTTTACTTGGTGAGTTGGTATTGCGCGCACGTGTTATGTGTCATTATTACAGTTTTTTGCAGTAATATCATAATATTAATGGTAGTTAACATTTATAATGAGTTCCAGAGGTAAACAAATGTTATAAAACTAGTGCAGGAACAAATGAACTGTGAACAAAATTTGCCAATGATGAAAATGAATTCACAGCAAGTTCTAACCTCAACATTGAAATTTCAAATGTAACAGGTAAGTGCAATCCTGTTGTTATGTAAATGAGCTGGTTGAAATACATAACCCAACTATCATCTGTTATAAATATTTACACTTGATTGCTCCGGGGATTCCCCTATCTTTTCAAAAGTAATTTTTAAACAATAATAATTAGGAAGAATTAAAATATAAGTATAAGTAAATAGCTGTTTTTATTTTCAGATTTGGAGGGGACCCAACCATTCTTGTCAGACAGCAGTGGTGATGCTGAATACTTTCCGAGTAATGAACGAAGCAGTTCTTCAGGAACTAGTGTCACGGAGGACGAAGAAAGAGCGGACCACAGTCATGTAAAAAAACCTTGTTGGAGGTACATTCATTTCTGGAGACAAAGAAGGAAGCGGGATTATTCAAAAGCCTATAATTAATCCTTCTAACGGGTCTAACGAGGTTGACCAAGAAAATGAAAAACAAAGAAAGCAAAAGATTTTTTCAACGACAGCAAAAGTTTCCAAAAAACGAAAACGAGATCCAAATACGTGGAAGAAACGCAAAGCAGCTTTAGATAGAGCAAAGGGTGAAGAATATTTGTCTTACAAAAACATTCCCGTTCCAAGAAAGGAGCCAGAAAAAGGTATTCTTTGTAGTCAAGGCTGTAGATTTTCTTGTAGCACTAAATTTTCAGCAGATGACAGGAAGGCATTTTTGGATGAATTTCATAGACTTGATATTAATGCAAAAAATGCTTTACTATTTAAATCAATCATTAAAAAACCAGTGTTGAGGGAAAGAAAAGATGCTGTTAAACATAAAACTGCGTCATATACGTATAACGTTACAAAAAATGGAATTACCGTAAAGGTGTGCAAAGAAGCGTTATGCGCTCTATACCAAATAGGCAGAAAAAAACTTGATGTTATAAAGAATCGTATAAATAGTGGTGTAGCAGCACTCCTCCAGATCGCAGAGGTAAGCACTCCAATAGGCACACAAAATAGGCCAAGATGTTAGGGATTTTGTGATAGAGCACATAAATAAATTCCTGTAGAAGAGTCGCACTATTCCAGAAATAGAAATCCTCATAAAAAATATCTTTCTCCCCTACTAAATGTGAGCAAAATGTATGAGTTATATCTTGAGGAATGTAATCTGGCACAACTTCCTGGAAAATTTAGAATTAAAAAATGTTCATATTCCAACATTTTTTCGCGAGAGTTTAATTTATCATTTGGGTATCCGAAAAGTGATACGTGTAGTATCTGTGATGGTGGTGAATCTAACGATAAACATAAAGAAAACTACACAGCATCAATTAAAGCGCTCAAAGTTGACAAGGAAAAAGCAAAAGATTCAGACAACTTGGTCTATATTACAATCGATATGCAACAAACAATGCCACTGCCAAAAATAACAACATCCAAAGCATTTTACCTTAGGCAAATGTGGTTTTATAATTTTGGGGTGCATATTACTACAAAAGGCCTAGACAAAGCATGTTTTTGTACCTGGACCGAAGATCTTGCAAACAGAGGAAGTGCAGAAATATGCAGTTCTCTACTCAGATATATTGAAGTCGACGAAAGCATCACCAAAAAGGATTATCTGATGATCTGGTCCGATTCATGTGCGGACCAGAACAAGAACTTCCACATGATTTGCCTTTATCAGTATCTTATTTTGAAGGGATACTTCCCTTGTATTGACCACAAGTTTCCTGAGGTTGGCCATACTTACTTAGATTGTGACAGAGACTTCGGAAGAATAGAGAAGGTTTTACGAAAACACGACACGGTATATGTACCAGATACGTACCGGGAAATAATTTCAAAGGCTAGCCGAAAAAATCAAGTCATCGACATGGCTCAACACTTTAGAAGGATTGCTGATCTACCGCAAAAACTTAATCTTACTAACAGAAAAAAGGACGAACTAAATGAAACACTCAGATTTAGAGACGGTATTAAATGGATAAGAGTGGAAGAGTATGGTTCCTATTTGTATAAAGAATCATATGACGAAACAGTTCCTTTTAGAAAAGTAAATATTCTTCAAAATAAGAATAGAACAGCAGCGCCAGAGAATATTGAAATCGAAAGAATTCGGGAGAAATATGGAACTATCTCTGAAGAAAAAAGAAGAAATCTCCAAGAACAGCTTAAGTTTGTAAAACCAGAATATCGATATTTCTATGAACCAATCTTAGAAAAAAAAAAATAATGTATTACGTTATATTACTGTTATTACCTTATATTAAGCAATAACATCTTGTTAGCTGATTAGATAAGTTTTTCTTTAATACATGATTCTTCCATAAAACAGTAGTTGTTTTAATTTTTTTAGAATTATACAGTGGATGAAGGTGTTATGTACTGTTTTTTTTCAAATTTTGGTAAGACACATTTTTTTTTGTTGATATTTTTTTCCGTGAATAACATATTCCATATACTAGTAACGACATAGAAAAGTTTTTACCTAATAAAAGTGAATGTGAGAAAAGTTTACAATGAAAAACTTTAACCTTAATTTTCTCAAAATCTAAATTTTGTAACATAGCACCTTCATCCACTCGTGTCTTCAATTCTATTGACACAGGACATAAATACAGACAAAAGTGGTTATAATGGTTACATCACGCAATTATTGACAACGCTGTTCTATTTTCCCATTTAATCCATACTGAATATAAAACGTGAGACGGACTTATTTACAACGAAATAAAAAGAAGAGAAATAAGAAAAGAGATAATGAAAATAAGAGTTCACTTACGGCATCTCTTCCGGTAGTACATCAGCCATTATATTAATAGAATCCGTTTTTGTTTTTGAGGTAGGAGCGGCAGCAAGCAATATTTTCAATAAAGCTATCATATATTGTGGTAAATTGGGCAACATAGCTTGATAAAGTATTTCTGTAGGTGTCAAATCTATCTCTCCCTCACTAGTAGATATTGGATTTCTAGCTATTTCTTCTTCTTTTTGTACTTGTAATTCGGACAGAGAGAGATAAATATGCTACAAAAAAAATAATGATATAAATAATGATAATAACGTTTATTTATTAATGATAATATACAAACAATTTCATATATGAGGGGCTGAGAGGAAAAGTGGTACAAGTGACATTTTGTATAAAAGTGAGATATGTGCATGAGTGGCTAGAGGATGTTGAGATTTATTAATATAAAAATGGTACAAGTACAAAACACATTACAGTACGGACATCTGTATTTGAGAAGTAAAAGCTCTCACCAATTTCTGGTAATGGTTTTCAGTATAAGTGGTCCAAGCGTACATGTCCCACTTTTGTTCTAAACCTTATGTAGTTGTTTGTGACAGCCACGTTTTAAAAGTGTGCAGGAATATTAATACAATTTGTGAAATAGCCTTAAAATAATGCAAGGTAAGTCTTCAATGCGTTTTATATTTTTTCAATTGTTATTTTATAGGGTTATTTTATTTATCTATGTCTTCAAAAAGTAGTAGTTGAAAGAAACTTATAGCATAACCCTAAAATGTTTCTTTTTTGTTTCAGAATCTGACAGTTATTCGGAATATGACGATTCAGAAGAGGACAGAAACTATAATCCAATAGAAGAAAGTAGTAGCGATAGTAATCATGATCTACAAAACATTGCAGATGTTCATTTAAACAAGTCATTAAAGAAAAAGGGCAAAAAACGTTTGAGATATAGCGATTTAGATAAGAGGCAAGTAAGAAAACGAAAAAGAAATGCAGGTGAGGAATACGTAGGCTATAAAAACAAGTTAGTAAAAGCAAGAAGTTTGCAAAATTATATACATACTTGCAGATTTCAGTGTCAAAAATTCACCGATGAACAAAGACAGGAAATATTTAACCAATTCTGGGGTCTAGGAAATTGGAATCTGCAGAATGCATTCATTACGTCTTGTACAGAGATCGCTTTGCCCAAACGACGACGTACAGAAGCTGTTACTAATAAAGAAAAGAGCGTTACTATCAAACTAAAAAATATGAGAGTTTGCAAAATGTTTTTCTTAAAAACCTTGGATATCAGCAATGGACGTTATTCGAGAATTTTAAATGGGATATCTGACGTTGGAATCACCGCTGTTGATAAAAGAGGAAGAGCTCCATGTCCTAATAAACTATCACAGGATGTAATTGATAAGGTAAAACGACATATTGATATGTTTCCAAAATATACCAGCCATTACACCAGACATTACAATCCCCGTAGACGGTACCTTCCTTCATTTTTGACCATAAGAAAAATGTATAAGTGTTACCTAGAGCATTGTCAAGAAAATAACGAAGCTCCTGTCAAGGAATGGTGCTACAGGAGAGTGTTTAATACCGAATTTAATCTAAGTTTTCATCATCCCTTGTCCGATACTTGTAATAAGTGCGATAAGTTCAAAACATCAATAAAATCGTGCATAAGTGAGTCAGATAAAAAGAAAATAATGTGCGAGAGAGAGCTTCATCACCGAAAAGCCGAATCGGGAATACAAGCCAAAAAAGAGGCAAAAATAGTGGCTGAAACTTCAAGGAATGAAGAAGTGGTATCAGTTTGTTTCGATCTACAAAAAACTTTACCTACACCAGCACTTACAACCAACAAAGTGTTTTATATGCGAGTATTATGGACATATAATTTTGGAATCCATAATTTGGGCAAGAAATGTGCTTCAATGTATATGTGGGATGAATCGGTAGCATCCAGAGGCTCTATGGAAGTTTCTTCATGTCTTTGGAAATTTATTGCTGGTCTTAATCAAAATACACGACATCTTATTGCATTTAGTGATTCTTGTTCGGGACAAAATAAGAATAAAAATATTGTGAAATTTTTTATGTATGTGGTTAAAGAAACTCAGCTAGAAATAATAGACCACAAATTCCTTGAACCGGGAGATACCTTCATGGAATGCGATGAAGATTTCGGAGTCATTGAAAAGTACAAAAAGCAAGTACCTTATATTTTTGTACCCAGAGGGCCTTATATACAAAATTCTCCGTGCAATTCCCTGTAAACAAATAGCACGTTTAATAGATAGCATGCTCAACGACCGAATGTTTCAAGTAGTGATGGGCACAGATATCAGCCCACCAAAGAAACTTAAAAATGGCCTACCACAGGGGTCAGTGCTCTCTCCATTACTATTTAGCTTATATTTAGCAGATATGCCAGAAACACAATCAAGAAAGTTCGGATACGCCGATGACTGGGTCCTCACTACACAATGCCGAACATTAGAAACATCTGAAGAAGTTCTGACGGCAGACTTATATATATTGAGCAAATATTTTCGCAAGTGGCGGCTTCAACCAAATGCATCCAAAACAGAAGTAAGTTGCTTTCACCTGAACAATAAACTTGCTGGAAAGGAACTCAACATACGGTTTGAAAATACCACACTTTCCCACAACAAAACACCGAAGTACCTGGGCGTAACACTAGACAGAACGCTATCATTTAAAGAGCATTTAACAAAAACTGCCCAAAAGTTGAGTACAAGAAATAACATTATACAGAAGCTCTGCGGTACCACCTGGGGAGCATCGGCTTCCACTCTCCGCCCTACTGCTTTAGCCCTTGTTTTCTCGACCGCTGAATATTGTGCCCCAGTTTGGCTACACAGTCCACACGTAAAAAAGGTCGACACTCAGCTGCACAGCACTATGAGGATGATATCTGGTACAATTAAATCAACTCCCACCCAATGGCTTCCAGTATTAAGTCACATTCCACCTTCACATTTACGACGAGTTGACGCACTTACACGTGAATACAAAAAGATCATGAACAATATAAACCTGCCGATCCACCAAGATACCGAGGATGCACGAAATACCCGTCTACGTTCTAGAAAACCACCAATGAAAACGGCAAGAATGATACATGAGGAGTTCAACATCATGAATGCATGGTCCCAAGAATGGAATGCATGGCAAAATAACATGCCCTGTATTACCCACAAGCCACCAGGTTTTTGATCTTCCACGTAAAACATGGTCCACTCTAAACAGGATCCGAACCAGACATGGCAGATGTGCATACATGCTACATAAATGGGGAAAGAATCCGTCTCCTCAATGTGACTGTGGGAAGGACCAAACGATCGACCACATTATTGAAAAGTGTCCCTCAAGATCTTATAACGGTAGCCCTGAAGACTTCCTGTTTGCAACTTCAGAGTCAATTGATTATGTTAATACACTTGATGTTTGTTTGTAATTATTTAAAGTTTGTCATATACCTATATTACTAGTGTTTGTAATTTTTGTTCTCAATGTGTTGTAATTGCCATACGATAAATAAATAAATAAATTTGTACCCAGTGAGTGGATGAATGCTGTGAGAAACAGTTCTAAGAAGTTTAAATGTGAAGAAATGAAGATGGAGCACTTCATTTCACTCGAAAACTTCAACGAGTACGTACAGGAAAATATTAAAAAGGATGATGAGAATAAGCAGATAAAATGGAGAGAAATAAAATGGATTCGGTTTGAGAAGAAAGACCCATTTACTATGAAATTCAAGTACACTCTCAATGAAGAGACTGAAATTATAACTGTTAACTGTATGAAGAAGATTCGTGGAAGAACACCTCAGAATATTAGTCTTAGTAAACTGTATAGTTCACCCATGATTCTGAAGTATGAAAAATGGAAGAATTTACAAGACCTACTATGCTTTGTGCCACCAATTTACCATCAATTTTACAATCAGCTCAATCACACTGCGAAGAAGGGAAAACAAGGTCAGAAAAAGAAGCCAATGCAACCTGAAGAAAGAAAAGAGAAGGACAATGAAGATGACGATGAGGTAGACGACAATGATAAAATACTTTTGAGCGACTATGATGATGAGGAAGATATTTAGCTCAGTTGGTAGCACGTCTATATAATATCATTTCGTTATTATTTTTATGCATTTTTTGTTCCTGTATTTTTGTGCAATATACATTTTGTTTTCGTATCTAATGTAGCTTCTTAAATAAATGTTCAAAAAATTACGTGTATTTCTTTTATAAAAGATATTATTTATGTATTTACCCATGGTAATATTTACTTGTACCATTTTTACTCTAAACAACAAAAATGGTACATGTACATTTTGTAAAAAATGTTTCAAAAAAACTAAATGTATATGATTGTAAAAACTGCACATGAAAACATTAAGAACTTACTAATAATAATATCTTGATTAGATTTTAAAATTTTGTTTGGTCTTTTTGTGCCACTACTTAAACTTTAACTCTCATTTTCTCAAAACTATCTAAATGTCACTTGTACCACTTTTCCTCTCAGCCCCTCATATGAACTTTTAAAATGAAAGGCAAATATCGAGCACAATTTTAACAATTAAATCTTGCACAAGTACTTTCGCTTAATACAGCATCTTCAGGGGCATTTCGTCAAAATAGGGCTATCCAGCAAGCGTAGAATGTGATAAACATGAATGTTAACATAAAATTGTACAAAACACTACAATAAAACAAGGACAAACAGTTTAAAATTAATTAAAATGGTTCTACGCTCTACATTCTTTGTCAGTAACAGGAGAGTTACTCTAGTAACTCTCCTGAGAATAACATTCCCTCTCCACATGATGAAGGAAATAAGCTCTCACGAATAAAAATTTCATTATTGCTGAATGTATTTCAAGGAAACAAAGTAATTGGCAAACAACGAATTAATTGCGCAATATTTCTGATGTTTATTTCACTGTCTCACCTTCTAAGTCGATTAATTTTAGAGAAAATGAATTATTGGCAGATTGTCTTGGAACTCTATCTAATAAATGTATATATATATATATATATATATATATATATATATATATATATATATATATATATATATATATATATATATATATATATATATATATATATATATATAGTAAACTCTTAAATATTGGGGAAATCTGCAATTGCAGGGATGTCAACAACTTATCAGGTTAGATAGCAAACTTTTAAATGTTGAGATTGCAACCAATCATAGATCTCTCAAACAGTTAGAACAGTCACTCACTGAACAAAAAACCGAAATCATTAGATCAACCTCGGAATATGATTGGATGCAATTTTCACATATTCAATCTATTAGATATAATAAAATATTTTATTCAATTAAATCAGACAATATCAAAAAAAAATTAACTCACTATATCAGTCTTGTTGTAAATCTGTTCTTAATACTGATCCAAAATGGATAAAAAATTTATCTACCACAACTATTCCTGATGATATTCTAGGTTTCTTGGCATTAGGAAATAAATTTAGCATCGAACCAAAGTTAGGAAAAGATTTTCAAGTAAAAACACTTTTAGCAGACTTAGAATACATAATTTCATCATGTCCATCTGAATTAGAACAAAACTTATTCCGGTCTAGAACCACCAACATTCTCACTAATCACATTTTGAATACTTCTAAATCATCTAATACTTTTTTTCATAACTTATATACCAAAACTAAAAAATTTCTTAAATATAATCCTGAGCATTTAGTGACAAAAGCAGACAAAGGTAATGTTACAGTCATCTTAGAAAGAACTCACTACTTACAACTGTGTTCTTCTCTCATTGAGAATGATAAATCTTACATTTCACTTACATCCAATCCCACTTCTTCTCTACAAAGGAAATGCAATACATTAATCGCATCCTTAGCCTCTTCTAATGAGATTGACCGTAACACAAAGAAAAAAACTAACAACATACAATGGGAATATTGCAAAGTTTTATGCTTTACCAAAAATCCATAAACCAACACTATCGGTTCGTCCCATAGTAGCTTCCATTGGAACTCCGACTGAAAATATCTCAGCTTTTGTTACAGACATACTTACTAATGCATATAATTATGAAATTCAATATTACATCAAAGATTCTTTTGAGATGGTAAATAAATATAATGGTTACATATTACCATCTAATTATGTCCTCGTTAGCCTTGACGTTGTATCCTTATTCAGCAACGTTCATTTAGGAATATGTTTGACATCAACAGAAATCAACTGGGACCGTATTAGAGGTTGTTGTTCCATGTCTTATGACAGATTCATCAGTATCGTCGAATTTCTCTTTAATAACACTTACTTCTCTTTTAATGGTAAATTCTATCAACAAACTTTCGGTACCCCTATGGGAGCAAAGATTTCTCCTATCATTGCAACTTACGTTATGGATTATGTGTTAGACTCAGTCATTCCTTTACTATCCTTTCAAACTCCATTTATTAAAAAATATGTTGATGATATAATTTTGGCTATACCCAATGACAAGGTAGATGAACTATTAGACACCTTTAATAGTTATGACCCCTACATCCAGTTCACTATAGAGAGGGAAGATGGACATTTGTTCCGTCCCCTTTCTCGACATAAGGATGATTAGGGAAATCAACAACATTAAAATAGATTGGTATCAAAAACCGACACATTCTGGTAGATACCTTAACTACCACTCTTACCATAATAACTCTACCAAGTCAACTTAATCAAACAGATGAAAAATAGAGTAATTAAACTATCAGATCCATCATTTCATACAAAAAACCTACAAATCCCTCTGAAACTTTTTATTTCAAATTCTTATCCAACACCATTAGTAAATAAGATTTTGTTTAACACTATCCATAACGAAGATACTTCACCTTCCATCGTGACTAACAATGCTGATCCTGATGTCTTAAGTAGGAACCCAGTCTCGGATACTCCTATCAATAAATATTTTTCATTACCCTATTTCAGAGATATCACTCCGGGGTTAACAAGGATTCTAAAAAGTTTTGAAAATAGCTTTTCTAATAATAATAATAATAACATTAAACTTAATGTGGCTTGTAGATCAGCCCTAACAATTAATAATCTTTATTCGAAGATAAAAGATAAGACTCCATAGATAGGCTTAGTAATATTGTCTACAACATTCCATGCCTCTCTTGCAACAATTCCTACATCGGCCAAACATCTCAATTATTGAAATCACGTATTACACTACACAAAAGTGATTCTCGACTTCACCCTGACCGCTGTGCATTAGCCAAACATGTCCATTCCACTGGTCATCACATGGACTATACGAACACTACAATTCTCCACCGTGAGAGCAATAAATCGAAAAGAGAGTTCATTGAAATGTCTTATATTTTCCTTAACGATTTTTCCATCAATGTTAAGAGTGACATTAAGAATCTAAGCGATATATACCACTTCTTACTTAAATCAGATACCAAGAACAATACAACATCACAGATAACCAACTTGACTGATATATCTATTAACAACTAACCTACTTTAATAATAATTTCCATTAACAAAAAAAAGATAACATTCCCTTGCTTTTCTTAGATACATCTCAATAAGATATTATTACAATAATACATGAACAATATACTAATTAAAAAAAAGAATTTCAATTAGAAATTCTAAACTAATATCTCCCCAGACTGGGATCTAACTTCATCGGTTTTACCAATGAGCCTTAACGACATTGATATCAAAGTACTACTTGTAATTGTTTCGGTGCTTGCGTTCTATGAAAACAGAAGCTCACATTCAAACTTTACAACAATTAAAAATTAGTTATTGCCGACAATTCAAAGAATTACTTCCTTTAAATGTAGTTACATTGGGTTTTTCGATTGTCCTTGGGTAAACCTTTGCGTTTTAAGTTCAAAGCTACCATACATTTCCAACGTTCACAAATAAACTTTTTTGCACATAGTAACAAAAAACACCACTATGTTGTTACTAGCTAAAGTTTTTTAACATCATAACTCGACATTTCTAAAATTTCACGGTAAGGTAAATGTTTTTTATTAGATAATATATGGTAGCTAATTATAATTTATTCTCTTTCAGCCCTGAAGAAGCCAAATTCTCTTTGGCGAAAACGAAAATTTTGCAGATTTCCCCAATATTTAAAGTTTACTATTTAACTTATCTGCAAAGATTAAATTTCTTTTCTATATATATATATATATATATATTATATATATATATATATATATATATATATATATATATATATATATATCATAAATCAGCAGGTTTAGGAAGTGAGGAACGGGTAACTGGAACATCATACTATACTTCACAATTATAAACTTACTTCATTTAATGTTTTGACACCCTCGTGAATTGGCTCAGGTAGTCCAAATAAAGTTGTTCTGTCCCCTGGAAGACTGTAACCCAAAAATTTCATCCGTGCAGTGTCTAAAAATAAATCAATATCTTTTTGCCTGACTTTAGGCTTCCAAGGCAATCCTTTAGGTAAAATTAGTGAATTTGGAGAGGGTGGTGAGATAGGCCTATACGTCTCATGATTATTATGATATATTTGATCGTTCGTTTCGTTAGGCGGTTGGTTTTCATCGAAATCTTGTAACTCGTTAACTTCTTCATTTTTTATTCCTACTATGGCATTTAACACCATATCCAAGGTATCATGATCATCTAGAACGCTTTGTTTTATTAAGCTCTACAAATAAATTACATATATAAAATCCAGAATTACATCATTTATATTAAATTTACAATCTGCTTCATAAAAAGCTATAAGTAGTTTCTAGTTTTAAATATACATTCTATATAAATCAATAATATTATTAAGTTAATTTAATTAGTCATATAACTCAAAGAAAAAAAGTTAGATAGCCCCTTGGCACCAGGTGCCTCGGAGACTATCGCCGTCATATTTGTGTTCACCGACCCCAAAACCAACACGTAATGAGTTTGCATTGATTTTGTATCGCTCTTCCTTAAAATTCCAGGAGACGAGACCCGGCCTGGGCATCAGATGCCTTGGAGACCATCGCTGTCATGATATTCGTGTTCAGCGACCCCAAAAACCCTCGATTACCGAGTTTGCACTGATTTTGTATCGAATTTCCATAAAACTACAATAGAATCTCTGCCTCGGAAACCATCGCCGTTATAATATTCATGTTCAGCGACGCCAAAACACCAGAGTAGTAGTACTGAACTCATTTCCGTCAATTGTTTCTGCATTACAAATTTATCATTTTTTATCACTTCGAAATGCACTCTAGAAAATTAATTTTCCTTGTTTAATAATGCAATTTTCATTTCGACATCATTACTTTAATTCACAAAATTTCCTAACAATTTTACGAATCGAATGCACCAAGTTTCAGTGAGATCCATCCAACTGCAATAAATTGGTAGGTTTTGTGTTTTTATTGCTTCGTTGCCTGGTCTATTACGTGAGTATATCAAATTGAACGATTCCCTTTTTAAGCGTAAATAGAATCTCCTATTTGACATGTGGTGTAAGTATCTGATTTTATTTTTTTATAATCAAATTTAACCATTAAAATTCCTAGAAACTGAACGATACTAATGCTAACTACATACAGTGTGGAAACCACTTGTGGAATAAAATTATTTGTGTCCTTATTTTAGAAAATAATAAAAAACGTTGAGATACCTTAACTTTTAAATTTAAATGGACGCTTTTAGACATAAATTTGAATGTACAGGGTGATCAATGCAAGTCTGGCATAGTGCATAATCTGTATTTTAAATGAAACACCCTATATATTCTCATGTTTTTAAAAGTTCATTAACAACCTGATTTCAACGAACTATATCATGTAGTTTCTATTATGAATAATACAAGGTGAAATTTTGAAATTAGGTATTTTCTTCAAGACAATGAATTCATAGAATACCCGAGGTAATTGATTGGATTACATTAAAATCAATGCTCAACATGTTCTCCACCTTGTTGTTCGCAATAACACAGTCTCCTATAAAACTCGTTCCGAACTTTGTTTAAAGTTTGAGGTGAAATATTCCGTATTTCTGTAGTTATCCTTTCTTTTTGAGGTCTTCTTCTATCAATGATAGTTGATTGTATTGCATATACTTTGTTCTTGAGATAACCCCACAAAAAAAATCCAAAGGCGTAAGATCTGGTGACCTAGCTGGCCACTCAATAGTCCCCTTCATCAAATCCACTTATTGAAGAAGATTTCATTCAAGTGATTTCTCACCATTAAAGCATAATGGGGTGTTGCACCGTCCTGCTGAAACCAGACAGTTTCATGCGGTAAGGTCGGATCTATTGCATTGGGATATTAGTTAGCCAATAAGGAAGAACATCGTCTCTTAGCATGCTTAAATATTTTTCCGCTGTCACATTATTATCTATAAATATAGGACCAATAATATCTGCCCAAACATTCAACTTTTGAGGATACTGAGTGAGTGTCTCAGGCATCCAATGAGGATTCTCCGCTGACCAATATCTACAGTTTTGTCAGTTTACCTCTCCATTCAATGTAAATGTTGATTCATCAGAAAAAAGAATTGTGCCAAAAGCTATTTCATTTGTTAATTTTATCCATCATTCTTTTGCAGAAATCCATTCTACGATCCGGATCATCTTCTGTTAGCTCCTGCACAAATGTCAATTTATATGGATGAAGTTTTCTTCATTGAGACACCTTAGGACAGTTGTGTGACTCACATTATTTTGACGTGCAATTTGACGTGAACTTGACTTGATTTTATGCAAGTGATTTCTCACCATTAAAGCATAATGGGGTGTTGCACCGTCCTGTTGAAACCAGACAGTTTCATGCGGTAGGGTCAGATCTATTGGATTGGGATATTAGTTAGCCAACTAAGGAAGAACATCGTCTCTTAGCATGCTTAAATATTTTTCCGCTGTCAAATTATTATCTATAAATATAGGACCAATAATATGATATCCTATAATATCTGCCCAAACATTCAACTTTTGAGGATACTGAGTGAGTGTCTCACGCATCCAATGAGGATTCTCCGCTGACCAATATCTACAGTTTTGTCAGTTTACATCTCCATTCAATGTAAATGCTGATTCATCAGAAAAAACAATTGTGCCAAGAGCTATTTCATTTGTTCATTTTATCCATCATTCTTTTGCAGAAATCCATTCTACGATCCGGATCGTCTTCTGTTAGCTCCTGCACAAATGTCAATTTATATGGATGAAGTTTTCTTCATGGAGACACCTTAGGACAGTTGTGTGATTCATATTATTTTGACGTGCAATTTGACGTGAACTTGACGTTGGATTCTCTGCGACGCTTAACAAAATATCCACTTTCACTTCATCTTCAATGAAGTTCGATTTTCTTTTTAATGGTTTGACATATCCAAGTTCTCTGAATTGTGCATAAATTTTAAACACAGTACCTTGTGAAATATTAGGCAACTGAGGATACCTCTGATTAAATAAGTTTGCTACTTCAACTTGACTTCTACAATTCTCCCCGTAACCGATCATCATTAAAATCTCAATTCGGTGGGCCTTAGTTAAATATTTCATTTTTATTTCTGCAAGAAATTAGTTTTTAATTAAGAATTTATTATTTTAATGTAAAATGTCAACAGCATGTCAACTGATTGATAACAATCCGCATTATTTACCGATTTAGTTTAATTAGCAGACTATCTATACAGTTTTTACCTATTCACGACAAAAAATGTTAACACGGTTACTAAACAGAAATTTTCCCCAATATACAGTGTATTGACACTTAGAGTAGAAGTCTATTGTCTGTATTTAGCTAATTTAAAATAATACCATAACACGTGATAAATTATTAATTTCAAAATTTCACCTTGTATTATTCATTATAGACCCTACATGATATAGTTCATTGAAATCAGGTTGTTAAAAGTATTTTAAAAACATAAAAATATACAGGGTGTTTCATTAAAAATAAGGATTATGGACTATGCCAGACTTGCGTGGATCACCCTGTACATTTAAACTTTTGTTTAAAAAGCGCACTTTTAAATTTAAAAGTTAACGTGTTCCAGAGTTTTTGATTATTTTTTATAATAAGGACACAAACAATTTTATTCCATAAGTGGTTTCCACACTGTATAACTCAATATATACTAGGATAATTATCGTATATATCTGCACTTACTCTTCTAAATGGTCTAGCAGTTCTTTTTTGATTTTGAGCTTCCAGAAGATCAGATGCACTAGCAGGGGGAGAGGAGGATCTCATAGTCTTCGTAATTTCCAAGGTATCTTCGTTATAAAGGGGCAGTCCCATTCTTTTTCTTTTTTCCAATTTAAGGTCCTTTAAAGTGTTCATACCCCCTAAAAATACCAAAATCAGCTTCCATAACAGCAGTAACACTTTTTTCATAGGAAAATGAGGAGCTGAACCACTGCAGAATCTGGTGACCATACTGAGGAGCTTGATAATAAGCATGTCGTCACCAGATGACGACGCTAGAATAAAAATAAAATAGAGTTAATACATGAGTGCAATGATTTATTCAATATAAAATATTTATTATCATCTTAGATACGCAGATGATGTAGTACTAATGGCCGACAAGTGGATTGCACTGAATACGATGAATGAGGAGCTATATACAGAATTCCTAAAAAAGGACTGAAAATGAATTTCAGCAAAACTAAACTAATATCAGATAAAGATGACAAACCTATAATAAACATCCAAGGGACAGAGATAGAACATCTAGATGAATATACATACCTGGGTCAAAATGTAAAGGTAAACAAAGAAAATCAGACTACTGAAATAAGCAGACATGTAAAAATGGGATGGTCAGCATTCGGAAGACTGTCATATGTACTTAAAAATAACAATATACCTCAAAGACTGCGAACCAAAGTGTTTAATTTCTGTATGCTGCCTGTACTTACATATGGAGCTCAAACCTGGACATTCTCTAAAATAAACATGGAGAAGATCAGAAAAACTCGAGAGCTATAGAACGACAGATGCGGGTCTAGGACATTTCGGCGTCGCCGTTTCGGCGTGGCCATTTCGGCGTGGCCGTTTGGGCGTAGAGCCGTTTCGGCGTAGGCCGTTTCGGCGTCGGCCATTTCGGCGTCAGAGATTTTATTTTAGTTGACTAAATACCTACATTGGAGTCTATTAGTAAGACATTATTTTGAAAAAAATCTTTTAATATAGTTATTTAAATAGATACATTGGAGTCCATTGATCACAAAATTTTAATATTAATGGTAGATTTGTATATGTGAATTTTATACTTATGTGTGTGTGCTTGTTATTTAGCTCATAGTTAATGTAATATCTGTAATTGGCTTCTAGCTGTAGATATTATATATAAATAAATGAATAAACAAGATTTTGGAAAAATGAATATTTTATTTTAGTTATTATTTACATGTTATAATTAGATATGTGCTAGTCCAATTAAAAATCCTGAAACATTTATATTTACATACAAAACATTTATATTTAACCTACAAAACTTATTCACGAAATATTAATTAAAATAAAGTATTTACATGTTATAATTAGATATGTGCTAGTCCAATTAAAAATTCTGAAACATTTATACTTACATACAAGACATTTATATTTAACCTACAAAACTTATTCACGAAATATTAATTAAAATAAAGTACCTACTTACATATTATAATTATGTGCTAGTCCTCTTAAAAATTCTAAAACATCCCCGTTTGCATCAAAATTTCCCACAAGCCGTGAAATGCGATCATCTGCGTCTCTGTATTTTCTTAATTTCAATGGTGGGAGATTACCTGCCACAAGTTGCTCGAAATAGACATCTCGACCTTTCTGCACCTGACGCAGGCCATCTATAAATTTCCATATGGTTGGATGATCTGCTCCCAATTCCATCTTGAGTCTTCTATGGGCGGCCTCAGCGTGATTATTTGTCCGGTCTTCTCCATCCAGAGTTCTCTGGTAGAGGTTCCACATCCTTTGGGGAAATAAACTTGGTCTTCTGCCATTTCCTCTTCTGTTCATACGTCCAATATAGTAGTCTTCAAACCAGTCTACAAGTGGTTGGTGTTCAGCAGGTAGAGCTTCCGCTAGAACGGCAAAGGCATCATCTAAATGTTCGATAGGAACAAATGCTAATGCTGTCAACATTCTGCAATTTAAAGCGAATTGTGGATCAGCATTATACTCTCTCGTATATCCCATAGCAGCCACTTGTTTCTTCATATTTTGTGCCAAATGGAAAAAACATCCATTGATGTCGACGCCTGGAAAACAATCTTCCATTGCCTTAAATGCCGCCTGTTCGAAATCGCAATGGATTGCTCTGGGTTGCAAATTTGGTACAATTTGTCTGATCAATTCAAACATACGGGTATATGTGGATCTTGTTTTATTCGGCAGCATGGCATAAAATATTGGATGGACTCCATTATATTTTGTGGCCATAACTGTGTATACTTGTAAAAATAGAGATGGTGCTATAGCAAATGTACCGTCACCATACCACACATCTGAGGTCTGTAGATGTTGCAGCCACGATTCTCTCCCGAAAATCAAAATTCTTTGCAATCCTTCTCCATCATCTGCTAATAAAAAATTTTCTTCTACACCATCTTGTAACGTGTAAACACGATAAGACTCGGGAATTACTAACTCTTCAACAGTTGTCGGATTTGATGGGGCTGCATGAACTTCGTTACGTTTTCGTCTGATGAATTTTCTCATCGCGCCAGTGTTTGGGAGCCGACCATGACAAGCTTGACTTGTATTTCTCAGGCACTCATTGATTACCACTATTGTCCCTTCGTTTGTTTCTGTAGCACGCTTTTTCATTTTTGTAACAACTTGTGCTACTTCCACGTCCATCGCCGAGGAGTCGTGAGTGTGAACATTTACTTTCTTGATGACTTCACCATCTCTTGTATGTATTCTTGCTTTGCACGTTTGTTTCCTCTCACACCTCCAAAATTTTAGGGATTCATCGCTTTTACTAACAGCGTCAAAAACATACATGAAACCATCAGTGGTAAATTTCTCTCTTCCTCTGGTCGATAAAATTTTTCGTTCCATAGCTTAAAAATTCTTCGTCTGTATATCGTATAAATACTACTATGAAATATTATAAGACACTACATAAACTCTTAAACTGATCTCTGTTTATATAGCTGTACCCTCAATAATCCAACCAATCAAATCAATAATAGGTAGGTACCTACTTAAAATTTCCCTTAAGATTAAAAATCAACAAATTACTTGCATCTCTCGTTAATGACATTATAATGTAATTTTTGAAATCAACAACTAATTTAGTTTTCGAATATTTAAAATCAACAAATAACTTGCATCTCTCGTTAATGACATTATAATGTAATTTTTGAAATCAACAACTAATTGATACATGATAATGTCATTTGGAATTAACAGGTAATTTAGTTTTCGAGGAAATGTTAATAACATTATTATGTGATTTATAGAATTTTGTATTTAAATTTTCGAAGAAACTGCAATAAATATAGGGATAACTATTATTATACTAACTAATGGTAAATATTTTAAAAGCAGATTCCTTTCAAGAAAATATTGTATAATTTAATTTTTTTTAAAAATATACATTCTGCAAATATTTTTGCTTAAAAAAGATATTTTAACAATATTAAAATTCTCCGTCTATATACCATATAATGTATGTCTAATTAAAGTTGAAAAATGTCAGTTATCATCTAATTAGCTCTGGGACAATTAAGAGAACAGCAATTATTATTAATATGCATTAATAAAAAATCCAATATAGGTATTTGCAGAATAAAATATAACAAAATGTTTATAAAAGAAATATATTTAGTTTATTTTTCTACTTGACCATTAATGTTAAAATTGTGTGACCAATGAACTCCAATGTATTTAAATAACTATATTAAAAGATTTTTTTCCAAAAAATTGCCTGACCAATAAACCTCAATGTAGGTATTTAGTCAACTAAAATAAAATTTCTGACGCCGAAATGGCCGACGCCGAAACGGCCTACGCCGAAACGGCCTACGCCGAAACGGCTCTACGCCCAAACGGCCACGCCGAAATGGCCACGCCGAAACGGCGACGCCGAAACGTCCCATTCCGGACAGATGCTGGGTATCTCACTCGACCATAAAGATCATAAAACCAATGAAGACATTCGTAATAGAACAAAAGTAAAAGATGCTGTTGAACAGGCAGCTAAACTGAAATGGAAATGGGCTGAACATAACGAATGTCTTAAGGATGGACGATGGAATAAAGAAATCGGGAATTGGCGGCCATATGAAGCCAAAAGACCACGAGCAAACCAATGTGGAAACGTCTTACAAATAACAGATGAATGGCGAAAATTAGGAGAGGCCTATATTCGGCAATCCGAATTGAGAGAAGGGTTTAAAAAATATTAATTTTAAACACAAATATTTTATTTAAATAAAGGCCAAACAATACTAAAACTCTGCTATGATAAACTGAGATTCTCTCTTTGTAGTTAAACTTCAGTCCTAAACTGTGCTGAGGAGATGTTGTGCCCTCTTCCTCTGCAATATGGTCAGGGAGATATTTAAAATCGAATAACTAATGCCTTAAGATTTCACCTGGTCCAAAAAATTAAAAACCAGTTTGGTCATTTTATGAATATAGAGATAATTCCACTGGAAGTCTTCAACCAACTAACAGACAGTTTGACACTTTGACACTTTAAATAACAAGAAAAAGGTTAATGCGAGTTAATAGCAAAATAAAGGTAGAAGGTATCGCCATAGCTCGTAACAAAGAAAAAAATATAATAAAATATGTGTATAAGATGGAAGGCAACAGTATATATGTATTTCTGACTATTCTTTTTCTTCAGTACGGAGCAGTCATGTTAGAAAATGAGCATGTTAACTTGGGAAAGGATTACTAAAGTGGATCTCCTTGCCTCAGTCTTTTTGTACCTTCAATTTTTTTGAGCAAAATCCTTTCTACGCGATTTTGGTTTTTTCTAATGTACTTTTTTATTAATTTCATCACTGTAATTATTACTAACATGTATAATGTATAGACGGGTTTGACAGTGGAAATGTGTAGTATGAGATATTACAAAAAGACTCATTTAGGGATTCACCAATTTTTTAGTGGAACTTTTTTTTTTGAACCTATTCTCTATCCTTCCATTGTTGGATATAGGTCTCCCCCAGTTCTCTCCATCTTTCCCTATCTTGAGCTGTTCTCTGCCATGTGGGACCTCCTTGTTTCCTGATGTCATCTTTCCACCTCATCTGTGGTCTGCCTCTGGATCTCTTTGCATTGTATGGACGCCACTTTCCGATGGCATTGTTCCATCGTCCGTCTTGGAGACGTTCATTGTGTCCAGCCCATTTTCATTTCAGTTTTGCTGCTTGTTCTATCGCGTCTACTGTCTTTGTTCTGGTTCTGATCCACTGGTTACGTTTTCTATCTCTAAGTGATACACCCAACATTTGTCTTTCCATCGCTCTTTGTGCCTTCCTTATCCTATCCAAATTGGCCTGTGTAAATGTCCATGTCTGTGCTCCGTGCGTAGGTGAGCACCGGTATGATACAGGAGTTATATACCTTGCTTCGTAAGTATAGAGGGATTGTTTGATTTTTTAGAACGTAAGAAAGTTTGCCGAACGCTGCCCATCCCATTCTTACTCGTCTCGATATTTCGGCTGTTTGATTTTCTCTATTAGAGAAATAGTTCTCTCTAGAGGGAACTATTTTTATAAACAAATAAAAACTTATAAACAAATTAAATTTCGCAAAAACTATTCGGCCGATCTGGTCTATCTTTTCCACACAATTCAAACACGATAAGACCCTCAAGTTCAGGTACATTTAAACAAATTTTAATAAATAATCAAAAAGTTATTAAAAATATTAAAAAACAGCGATTTCGTTGTTCATTTTTCAATACCTTTTTTGTTTATTATCCGATGTTAATTTAGTATATCTCATTTTGTGAAAATCTTTAAATAGAAAAGTTTTTAAGTTGTGAGCAAGCAAAATAATGAATGTGACGTTTGGATTGTTTATTTAAAAATATTTCCACTAAACAATTTATGAATCCCTAGATGAGAGTCTTTTTGTAATAACACATTTCAACTGTCAAACATGTATATAGAGTTATGTCAAGTAAAAAACCAGCTTAATTGGCCTAATATAGTAAATTTATTGAAATGATACTCCAAGGAACATAAATATAGCTAGTATTACCTGATCATTATATTAAAATTGGATATTTACATACCATTTGCTCTGCACTTAATCAGACTACATAAGGCCATATGACACTATGCATTTTCTTGTATCATTTCTTATATCGTTTCTGATATAGAAAGTTATTTATTTTTTCTTGTATCGTTTCTTATATGTACATTTGTGCTCTGTATGACACTATGCAAGTTCTTTTACCGAAAATTTTATGTGATTCGGCACATGATTGGTCGAAATTTTGACACCTATCAAAATAGAACTGCAGTTGCAGTGCCTGAGGACCCCAAGCCAGATGCAACTGATTATTTTTTTAAATACTGTGGTGCAAAAATGAAAGAAATAAAATGTCCTATTATTAAAACTAAATTGAAAACCACAATTTTTTGGTTTATAGTTTATTCGTCTTCCGGGTTTGGACCGTGTCATTTGTGAGTGACCCAAAAGTGGGTTCATCTATAAACTATAATTCTGACTCTGGCGGTGGAAGCCTACGATTTCAATTTTTTGGTTATTCAACAGGCTGTAATGGAAGACAGAAATAATTTGGTTGTAATAATTTATTTGTTTTTTTACACATTATGTGTTTGAATGGCATGCTCTTGAAATTTTATTCTCTTATTTGGAAATATAAAATAATCATTAAACTCATCACGAATTTTTAGAGCGGTTGTGTATTGTTTTTAGTAATACATCTCCTACTTTCAGTGGTTCCGAAACTATTTGAATCAAATCCCTGTAATTTATTGTTTTTCAATTTGGCTACTGCTGTTCTAATCTTGGTTATTGTTGGTGGGCACTTTTTTCTGATGTCTGCTTGGTGTAATTGTATATCAAAGTTCTCCTCCAGCCGCCATTATGACAGATTATGACAGAAGTTTTAGTTTTTGCGCATTTCTTGTACAAGAAACTGCAGTGGACACAAATTCTTGTATAGTTTCTGATATAAGAACTATACGCTTGTGTGACACTATCCATTTTTTTTGTTATATCAGAAACGATATAAGAAATGATACAAGAAAATGCATAGTATCATACGGCCTTAAGATAGAAGCAAATCTACAAAAATTTGAGACTAATATTCTAATTCATGCAATTAGTATTCCTTGCATGGGAGAACAAATAAATCAATACATATCTGATGTGATTGAGGATAATTTGATTGATTAACTTCAAAATTGTGTTTTATCAATTGATGCTGCAAGCAGACAGAGTTTGAGATGTCAACTCAATGAACACTAGTGCTATTAGTTTTAATACAGAGAAGGGAATAATAAACTACTTCAGAATGCACTATCTTATTATAATAAATTACAAAAAGGGATCATTAATACTTAGCGAGAAATATAGAAACACTACCTTATATTGCATCACAGCAATCAAACCAATATATAATAAAAACATTTTATTATTAGAAATATTGAGAATGTATTACCTATTTCATGACAAAACGACTTCACTTCTTCCTCATACTCTGTAGACTGAGTATCTTTTTCGTTCCTAATGACTTCGGTTATTGTGTATAAAACGGACAATATAACTCTTAAATCTTGGGAATCTGCTAAAGATATAGCAATTTTTCTCATGGCCACATGTGCTGCAGTACTATTCCTACAAGGAGATTTTTTTATTCTTGCTTAGAGTAAACTTGTATATAAAAGTTATGCTCACAGCTGTCGTTGTATATATATATTTTTCTTTGACAATACATAATTTTGTGTAAAATTAAAATAAAATAATGTTACCATAAATCGGAATTTGTAAAAATAACATACTAAAAGAAACAGTCAGATTTTCTTAAACAGATCTTTAAAATTTGCCAAAGAATTGGAAAGAATAATAAAAAATTGGATAATTAAACTCTGAAATTAAAAGATAATAAGAATGTAGTTAACTGCAGTAGTTGAAATAACCAAATAAGACATACTAAAGAAAGCTCCAGGAACAATATTTTAAATTTGATTTTTAAGAAGAATATAATTTAAATTAATTTAATATGACAAAAGACAGTTAGAGAATTATACTTTGTACTCTATGTAAAAGAAAAAAGATATTAGAAACTTGAAGAAAAAATTAAAATAAAATTTAAAGTGGCTTATAAACAGGACCCAAAATAGTTTTTAAACCAATAATAAAAGTATTGTTTACTTGTAATTTAAATTATCAAGAGAATACTGAAAAAAAAAAATATTTCAAATCCTTTATAAAAGGTATATAATAAAATGCCCAAACGGGCTATCACAAATATATTACAAAACGTTTTCGGATTGTTAAATCCATCATCAGTGTAAACAAGGTATACATGCTATGAGCCACCAAAATATATGGGTCAAAATCCTTTAAATGATATAAATTTACAGTTGTTCTACATTGTATGTGGTTACAAATTATGATGTTTAAGTTACTGTTGGAATTGGTAAAATGGCAACGTATCACAATACATAGGTAAAATGGTCCTGAGACGAAGTGTCTTCGAGGACCTGTTGATAACAACTGATCAGAACAACTGATCAGTTAGACAACAGATAGAGTTAGGACATAACTGTTTGCATAAATTCCAATAAAATGGTAAAACAAGTCAATTTTAACACAATGCACTAATTTATAGGTGGAGAACAAAATTATAACAACAAAAAACATAAATGAAGCTGCTATATCAAAAATTTTGCAAATAGCAGCTAAAAAGAACAAAAATGAATACTTTTTTACTATGTAATATTTTAAATATACAGTTTAAATTTTTTATTTATCCTAATCAACTACTGCCTTAAATTTGTACTAGAAAAAAATTAAACTAAATGGATAGGTTGGCACTTAAGAATCCTCAAGGAAGTTCTATTGAAAATCTTGGGTTAACTGAAAGCATAAAAATTCTGCATGCATACAAACGCCAGTTTCAGGTGATACAGGTTTAACTATTGCCCGAAACCTCAAAGTACCTTCTTGAAATAAGCAAAAAGAATAGTAAATTGGCAAGATGTATTCTCACTGAATACTACTCCTGTAAGTATAGATTATATAAGATAAGTAAGAATATATAGTAAGCCAGACAGTGGGAAGGGTATGCTGTGACTTAAGAGCATTATTTTCAAATGACTCTACAATGTGTGAAATGTTTTACCTTCACATTTAGCCAATAAATGTAAGCTAGTTTATAAATAAGTTTATAACATTACAGATAGAAAATAAACATTAAGAGATTTTTTAAAACCCTGTTATACCAATATTGAATTTAGGCAAACATTTAAGACCAGAGGATGTATTTTTAAATACAACTTAAAATAATGCATAACATATATAAATTAAAAAGATACTAACTCAAATTCTATATTTAGCAAATCAGTAAATGCTGTAAATACTCCCAATTTATAAAGTAACATCGAATTACATCTGGCCCATTGTTGTTGCTCTGCATCTGATTGCATTTCAGCCCAGCATCCTTGAGCAATGTACAGCAGACATCTAGCACTTCTCATCCTCAAAGGCCTGCTGCTAACCTCTAATTGGTCAAGCAGTTTCATAACTACCGATTTTCGTTTTTTAAGTGATAATCTTTGCCAACTAGGAAGGAGGTTGTACACTTCCATCTGGTCTTCAAATGCTTTAACATTAAACTGCAGCTCAGGTTGTTCTGTGTAACTGTATAGTTCTGAAATTTCATTAATGTGGGTATCTGTGTCATCGTATATAAATTCCAAATCTGGAGAATCTGTACATCCTCCCTAAAACAAGTTTTAGTAAAATTTATTGGAACTATAAGAGGTAAAATATAAAACAATAAGTAAAAAACATTTGATTCACTATTTTCCTTGCTATATTCTAACACATGGATGAATCATATAATACTTTTTTAATATAAAACCAAGTGTATAGGTCTTTTAAGCTTATCTAGCAATTATTTATCTCTCCCAGTTTCAAATAGGTCTTAATCGTTCCAATCAGAACCCTACAGATGAACCTTCAGAGAAGTAAAGTAGTTTTGGTGGAACTTAGTGTTGTTATGAGTAGGTTCAAGTTAGCCTTAATACAAAAGAGCCCTGGGTTGCTAGGGTGAAATAACAGGTCTATTGGTAAGGACTTATATGTTAATTTAAGATGTCCAATAAGCAAATTTTTTTTTTTCATCTTTCAAAAATCGTTTTTTGGATATTTGCTTGATGGGTATAACTTTGTACACATATCTTCTAACATATTTAAATGTTTTGTATAAATAGTACCCTTTGGTTACTTAAATCTACTAAAAAGATTATGACAGAATTCTTTAAACATGTTACAGTCTTGGATAAATTAAAATTGTCCCTATATTATGCCCATACTACTATTATATCCATTCCATAACAGTTGATGAATGATAAACTAGTGAAAAGAGTTTTCAGAGGTGTTTGACAGTATGACCTGAAAATATTTCTTCTTCCTGTAGTAACAATATATATTTTGGTAACTTTTTTTGTCTATTTGTAGAATTCTTAATTTTATTTGTATGTAGTGTTCACAATTTCTTTAATCTCCTTATTAGTTTCTTCTCTCTTTTCTACTTGTTAGTCTTTACTTACTATACTGGCAACATAAACAGAATCATCTGTTAAAAAATTAAGGTTAGTTGTTTGTTATTGATAAAATTTAATAAACTATTTTGAGACATTAGACCTGTTTGAAAAGAAAGATGTTGTGTTGAATGAATTATTTTAAAAATAATTATTCACAATATTATAAACATAATAGTTTTTCAAACATAAAAGTATCTTACATCTGAATCCTGTCGTTGACGTCTAATAATTTCTCTAAGTGTAGGTAGTCCGCGCTTTCCATTGCCGTTTGTATCCATTCTGAATAAAGCAGCATATTTATTTGTACATTATTTTAACTTTAAAATGTCCTTGTTATTAAAGTAATACTCAAATTTCTTTACACATTCTTTAATGACAACCTAGAGATTATTGACCCAAGAACTACCAAACCACTACCAAACCAAAACCGAAACTGACAGTTCTCACTTCTTCTAGTTTAAAAATCCACTGAAGCGGTCTAGAGGATTGGACGAGCAACTGGGGTGTCAACTTATGATATCAGAAGAATAAAAAGAAGTTAGATTTGATTTGATATGGGATATTAATATTACTAAAAATCACAAATAATTAAGAAAAAAGTTAAACAACAAAATACTACGTGATGCCTTTTCAACTTCAAAAATAAATATAGATTATTATAATTATATATACTGTCCTATTAATATATTATATTCATCAAGTTAGAATCTAACTTGATGATTATATTGTATCTGTAACAATTATATACATAATAAAATTATAGTTTATTAATGTTACATTAATTAGCATTTTGCGCCATCTAAGCATTAATTGCTGGATTATTGGAATCAACTACAGAAGAAATCTGTAATCGGTGCGGTAAAATTGTAATGTATCCCATAGACCATAATAAACTGTAAATAACACCCTAACCTAACCTTCTTACGTTGACCACAGTATATATAACAATACTGTGTTGTTGTCTATACAGTGCGTTGTCGATAATCCAAAGACCATCTTCACTGCCTATGGCCAATGGCATTTATACTGTGCCTATGGCTATGAATAACACAACGGATAGAGGATCCGACGATCTCTACGCATTTCTGTTATTCGAATACTAAATCTTGTTGTCTTGTCAGAGGTTTATGTTGGTTTGCTAATTTCATTCATCAGAAAATTATGGACAATCTGCCTTTGATGCTTGGCTCGCTCTCAAACAACAGTTTGGAGCCTCATCCAAAGATCAGTTATTTAACCTTAAACTGCCATTGAATACCCAGAGATACATTAGTATCAAAGAATATAGACGCTTAGCTATAGAGTTAGTATATAAAATTTATAATGGAAAATATGTGTGGCTAAGCGCCTAAAGGGCAATGCCATGATACTAAGTATCATGGGGCAATGCGTACTGGAAGATACATTCCCTCTTTATGAATAAAAGCAGAAAGCGCGAGAGAAACCAGTTTTTATTCAAGTAAAATCAAGTCAGTGTTGTTAGTGAAATGGCAGAAGCACAGTCTATTGATAAAGTAAGTAAAAAAATAGTCATATTTTTGTTTTTATTATAAATTTGTGTTTTGTTATTTCAACTTATATTAGTACATAGTAATGCGAATATAAAGGATTTGTTTTGAAACGATAATTTTATTTTCATATGGTAAAATGTCACCTGTTTTTTTATGTATCCCGTAGTATACATTGATCGTTCAATTTTCTTTTTACATATTGGCAAACTTTATTTTGTTCAACCATATGATATTCAAAAAGTGTAACTAGGTGAATCAAATTATGATAAGATGTGTTCGAATGCGGATAAATAATTGTTTATATACTTTAAAACCATAAATTGGAATTAATTATTTCTTCTTCTTCTCGTGCCACTCCTAGCGGAGATTGGAAATCATCATGGCCACTGCGACTTTGTTAGCAGCGCGCCTAAAAAGTTCAATCGAACTACACCCGAACTAATTTTGCTCTGCATGATGTTTCTTAAAAGTTCGTACTTTTCACCTCTCACAATGTGCCCCAAGTATTCCATATTTCTAGTTTTTATCTCATTTAGAATTTCGCATCTTTTGTCTAAAGTTTGGAGTACTTGCGAGTTAGTGACGCGGTCCATCCATGATATTCTGAGAATGCGCCTATAGCACCACATCTCGAAAGCTTCGATGTTTTTTATGGTCAACTGTTTTAGTGTCCAAGCCTCAACTCCATATAACAGGGTAGAAAAGACATAACACCGCAGCATTCGTATTCGTAACTTTATATTGATATCACGATTGCAAAAGAGTTTGCGCATTCTATTAAAGACTGATCTAGCGATTTCTATTCTACATCTAATCTCTTTTGTTTGATCAGTATCGTCTGTGATCCAAGCACCTAGATATTTATAACAGGGCACATGCTCAATCGTTGTATTGTCGTTGAATTAATTCGTCGTTGAATTAATTATTGTTTTTGTATAATTTCCAGATACCAACCACTTCTTTCTACGGTTCACGTAAGAAGGTTATTGCAGTACTTCCTCCTGATGATCCGTATATATCTGATATAGGAGAGTCATCAGACGAAGAAGAGATTTATGGTGATAATGCTGATGATTTTGATCCAGACTATGAAGATCCTTCCTCTAAATCAAATAAGCTTCCAGTTGCTTTGTTCAGTGATACAGAATCAGAAGACGACCAGCCGCTACCTTCACGATACAAAACTGCGAAAAAAGATCTGAAGAGTACAAGTGGGAGCAAACTGATTTTCAACACATTAAATTTACAACAGAACTATCTTTCTATGCACCCGATGACGAGTATAGACGTCTATATATTTTCAGCGATTTTTTTGGATGACGATTTGTTTGCGTATATATCAAATGAAACTAATGTATACTCCACATTATCAACAGGGGTATCTATCAACACGACTCCATTGGAACTAAAAGCTTTTGTGGGCATGGAGATGCTAATGGGAGTGGTACAAATGCCTGCTTTTAAAGATTATTGGAGTCTTGAAACTCGACATGAAACAATCGCTGAAGTAATGCCAGTGAAGAGATTTGAAAAGCTTAGACGATTCATTCAAGATAATAACATGGATGCAAACGGCGACAGATTGTTCAAAATTCGGCCCATACTAGAAAAAGTATGTCAAAAATGTTTGTCTTTGAAACAAGAGACACTGTTTTCTTTTGATGATAGCGTATAAGGGAAGTAAAGCAGGTAACTTAAGTCAGTATATGTTCAAAAAGCCTTAAAAATGGGGACTGAAAATGTTTGTTCCCGCGGGAGTGTCAGGTATTGTTTACGACTTTTTAGTGTACACAGGTTCGAGCACTTTCAACAATATACAATTTTCAAGTTATGAAGAATCGTTCGGTCTCGGGGCTCAAGTAGTTATATATTTATGTAGAACAATTGCAAATCCGAACGAATCTGTGGTTTATTTTGACAAGTTTTTCTGCTCTTCGGAGCTCATAGAATACCTAAAGAAAGAGAAACAGTTGTCGGGTTTTTCTGCTCTTTAGAGCTCATAGAATACCTAAAGAAAGAAAAAAGCAAATAGTAGAAAAGATCAAGTACCAGAAATATTAACAAGGAAAAAGGGCATTGTCAACCAAGGATTAGAACTACTACCGGAAATCACAATGGACGAAATAAAACTAGCCCTAAGAAAAGCTAGGAATAACAAATCTCCAGGCTAAGATTGTGTAGTTACTGATGCAATTAAAATCGGAGGCACTTGCCTACTTAAGAAAATAAAAAACCTTGTTAACATGTACGTTTTGGACAGTAATATACCCGACAAATGGCACAATGCTGAGGAAATTCTGTTGTACAAAAAAGGAGATCCCCATGAATTAGAAAACTACAGACCTATAAGTCTTTTTAGTCACCTATACAAACTCCTTACAAGAATAGTAATGAATCGTCTTGAGAAAAAATTTGATTTCTACCGGATTTGTAACAAATGATCACCCACAGAGCATTAAAACGGTAATATTAAAGACTATTTAATACAATCGACCACTCGTTCTGGCTTTTGTAGATTTCCATAAAGTCTTTGACACGGTATAAATTTGACAAAATCCTGGAAGCAATACAAACATGCTGCATTGACTACCTGTATACAACATTAATTTACAATACATACAAGAACGCAACTGTCGGTGAAACTCCATGAAAACACGGATCATATCCCAATCGGCAGAGTAGTCTGACAGGGTGATACCTTATTGCCTAAACTGTTTACCGCAGTACTAGAATATGCTTGTAAAAAACTTAACTGGGAAGAGAAAGGCCTGAACATTGACGGTAGAAGATTGACAAGTTTGAAATTCGCAGAAGACATAGTTTTGTTCTCGGGCAACCTCAAGGAGATATGTACAATGCTACATGAACTTCAGTTAGTGTGGGTCTTCAAATAAACATCTCCAAAACAAAATTCATGACAAACCTAGTACCTAGCGGAAATATCAATATTGGAAACAACGAAGTAGAGCTGCAGGAAAAATACATATATCTTGGACACGAAATAAAGATCACAAGAGACAACCAAATATGCGAACTAAGAAGAAGGGTAAACACCTAGCATGGGCAGCCTATGGAAAATCAAAGACATCTTTGACAATCAAAGACAAAAGAAATAGAGGAAGACCCCCTACTCGTTGGACTGACGATCTCAAGAAAATGTCAAGAAATTGGATGAAAAGTGCTCAAGATAGAGCACAATGGACAAAAATGAGTGGATTCCTATGTCCAGCAGTGGACGCAAATGGCTGGGTGATGATGATGAGCATTGGTGTTAAGAGGCGCTGGTGTGGATAGTTGATTTCCACAAAACTCATGAATCTCTTCTTGGTTTGGGTAGGACTTATCGACATTATTATTATTACTAGTAAAACACATATACATTCTTTACATTTTTTTATTAAAATAAAATAAAAATCACAAATATTATCTTATTTAATTAAATAATTTTATCACATTTAAAATGCATGTGTTACACGCATATTATATCCTCTAAAGAAGGATCTAGTTTAGCCCTTTTTGAACTATGAGATATTTCTCTATTAACTTTCGGAAACCCAATATCTGTTCTATAAGGCATAACAATTTCTGATGTTGAAGGTTCTGCTCCAGATTTTATGTAAGCCACAGTGGTGTACATAGTAAATCCTTTATCAATCAAAATGTGCTCTTTAAGAATTAGATATGCTATGATATACTTTGCTTGTTCTTTTGAAAACTTTGGCGTTTTTATAGAATTCACTTTTACTTCATTGCCACTTGACTTAAACCAGGCTGCTAATAGTTTATTAAGAGTAAGTTTTACTTCTTTATTATTAGCAACTTCGATTAAAGTTTTTATATCTTTTAGAGCTGATTTAATATTATATTCAGAAATTTCTTTAGGACTTTTACAATGATCACACATTTTAGAACAATCGGTTTGCCTCCATATGTCTCCAAAATGTTCCGATATTATTGCTCTTCTACACCTAAAAACGTATAAAAAATTTTTTAGTATTTATGAGAAATATAGTTAATAATCCACAAGATGTTGCATTAATAGCAAAAGACAAAAAAGAATTGCAGGAAATGATATGAGACTTAAATAGAAAAACAAAAGAAATTAGACTATAACTACTAAATTTCTAACAAATGAATTCTAGATATAACTGAGGATATACCTCTGGACAATAATATTAGAAAAAAGGTTGAGTTGTATACAAATTGGCCCAAAAGTCTGGAAACGGCTAATTATCTCGTAAATTACTAGACATAATTATACAAAATTTGAGATACGCCTATTTTGGGATACGGAGATTCCATATTTGGTATTTGCAATGTTGCCAGATTTTCAGTTCCTCTTATATTACTAGTAACTTTGGTTTTTCAAATGCATCACCCTGTATATTCAATCGTTATTGGAATCACCTATTAAATACGAGTTCAACCATATGTAACACTTACGATTTTATGTAGTCTGGAAGGTCTTAAATACATCAAACAGAAGTCTGGCAACGCCTAAATTGTTTCAATACATTTTTTAATACTAACTATTTTCAAATACATTAAAACGTAACAATTGATAGTTTAAAATATTTTTTAACATAATAGTTACGTTATTATGTGTTCAAAATGTGCTCCATGATTTCTCCATGATTGTCTAGAAATTAATCGAAATTCATCGATAATTCATTGCCTTAGCTATGCAAGACTTGCTGGTTAAGTTTTGTAAACTGAATTTTTCAAGTATCTCTAATAAAAATAATCTTTAGGATTGAGATCGGGTGAACGTGGAATAACGCCGAACATTTACACCAACTATCTGACGTTAAATTTCTTTCGATAAAAAATGGCCCAATTAAATAAGTACCTACTATAACTGACCATACATTTAATTTTTGTGGTCTTTGAGTATGGTTTTCACGCATTCAGTGTGAATTTCACAAGAGTTCAGCTATTCAATACGAGTTCAACCATATGTTCACTTGATTTTATGTAGTCTGAAAGATCTTAAATACATAAAACAGTGCAAAATATATAGATTTTAATAAATTTAAATATTTAAATGGAGAATGCTTTGATTTTGACATTTGTTCACCATTTAAATTATGAACTAAAATTGACAGTAGTTGTGGTTCAAAAAGTTCTACAATTTAAATTGCTTCTCTAAAATGCCGTTCTCTAAACCGTTCTCCTATTCATAAGACGACGGTACAAAAAACTGTAAGGCGATTTGAGGAATCTGGAGAAGTAAAAGATAGATACCGATCAGGTTGACCGAAACGAGTTATCAATGACAACAAAACTTCAGATATAAGCAAAGTTTTGTTGAAGATCCACATACATCCCCAGGCAGGGTTGCACAAGTACATGATGTAGGTCATTCTTCAGTCTTATGTTTATTACGTAAAAATAAATTTAAATCATACAAAATTAACTTATTGCAAGAATTAAGTGAAGATGACTTTGGTCGTAGATTAGAGTTTACTGGGGTAATGATGGATAAAATTGAAAATTATTAAAATTTCGTTAACAGAATATGTTTTTCCGGCAACTTTTACACTGTGTGGAAGTGTAAATCGACACAATTTAAGGTACTGGTGTGACGTAAATTCACACTAAAGACTGAATGCGTGAAAACCATACTCAAAGACCACAAAAATTAAATGTATGGTCAGATATAGTAGTTACTTATTCAATTGGGGCAATTTTTGGCGAAAGAAATTTAACGTCAGATAGTTGGTGTAAATGTTCGGCGATATTTAGATGAGATATTTCCTGGACGATAAATTGGTAGACAAGGTAGAATTGAATGGCCTCTACGTTCACCCGATTTCAATCCTAAAGATTATTTTTATTAGAGATACTTGAAAAATTCAGTTTACAAAACTTGCAGAGCTAAGGCAACGAATTATCAATGAATCTTGAATAATTTCTAGACAATCATGGAGAAATGTGGTAGACGCCTTCTACCATCGATTAGGGTGCTGTCAACTCACAAATTGAGCACATTTTGAACACTTAATAACGTAACTACTATGTTAAAAAATGTTCAAAACTATCAATTGTTACGTTTTAATGTATTTGAAAATAGTTAGCATTAAAAAATTTATTGAAACAATTTAGGCGTTGCCAGACTTCGGTTTTATGTATTTATGAACTTTCAGATTACATAAAATCATAAGTGTTACATATGGTTGAACTCGTATTGAATAGGAGATTCCAATAATGACTGAATATACAGGGTAATGTATTTGAAAAACCAAAGTTACTAATAATATAAGAAAAACGGCAATTTGATGAGCCAGATGTCATAACGTTCATTAAAACACAGCGACTTAGATGGGCTGGACACATAATACGAATGCCAGAAAATACCATTGCTAAAAAGCTAACCACAGGAACACCTGTAGGAACAAGAAGCAAAGGCCGACCGCGAATTAGGTGGTTAGATGGAGTAGAAACCGACCTACGAATATTAAAAATCAGAAGATGGCAACATGTTGCCAAAAACCGAACAGAATGGCGACGAATCTTAGAGCAGGCCAAGATCCACAGAGGATTGTCGAGCCAAAGATGATGATGAATAATGACTGAATATACAGGGTAATGTATTTGAAAAACCAAAGTTACTAATAATATAAGAAAAACGGCAAATCTGGCAACATTGCAAATATCAAATATGGAATCTCCGTATCAAAAATTAGGTGTACCTCAAATTTTGTACAATTATGATTAGTATTTTACGAGATAATTAGCCGTTTCCAGACTTTTGGGCCACTCTGTATATACTTTAAAGGCAAAAACTTTCGACGTTTGATGGAGAGTATTTATAAACTTTATTCATATCTACCTAGTTAATTCCAGACAGTATAGTAAAATTGGAGTCGAATTTTTTTCTTCCGTTTTTGACGAAGCCATAGTAAAATTCCTAAGAAAATCTGCTAATGTAAACATAACTATACAGTCTGATTTTTGTCCATCTCTACCAGCTCTTCCACTTTCCTGATAAAGTCCTTCCATACTTTTAGGAACAGAGTAATGAATTACAAAGCGAACATCAGGCTTGTCTGAAAAATAACGTTCGTTATACACAGATTAACTAAATCATTAAAAATGAGATTGAACTATAGTTTGACAGACAAGACACGTTCGGATATTGTTCACAGTCAAGATTAAAAGTGGTCGAAATTTTGTTTATTTTTTGTTTGTTATTTCAGTACAGCTTTAGTGTACATTAGTGACTAAATTGTGCATACAAAGACTTAATCAAAAGTAAGTTACTGAATCGTGAGTCTAAGCTTAGAATCTACAAAACAGTAATTAGACCAGTGGTCACATATGGATGTGAAACGTGGACCCTCTCAACCACTGATCAAAATCAACTGAGAATATTTGAGCGCAAAATACCAAGGAAGATATTTGGACCAACCCAATGCAGCGATGGTTCGTGGAGAATTAAAATGAACCACGAGCTGGATGAACTAATGCAGAGCGCATATATTGTTAGATTTGTAAAGTCACAAAGACTAAACTGGCTTGGTCACCTAGAAAGAATGCCAGATAATCGAGCTGTAAGAAAATCAATATGAGACTATCAATAATGCACTATTATTTTTGCATACTGAACACAAAAATAAACATATTGTAAGATTATCTTCTATGAAAGCAGCACAATTTTTTATATTAATTTAGTAGCACAAATTTTAATAATATTAAATGACTCATTAATAAAAACATGTCTGTAAAATTCGCATATCCATTTTATAAGGCCAAATTCAGACCAACACTATAATTTATTACAGACAGAAAAAAATTATTGCTGTAGCTGTTTCACGAAAAGGCGTACAGGACCAATCTTGGCGGGATATTTGATTGCTAATTAATTTCTGTTAATTGGTACATTAACCAATCCCCAAAAGCTACCCCATCATCCTCTAGCTTAAAACACACTCCTGGAAAACCCAAAAAGCGAACCGCAAGGAATTGATTGTAAATTTATTGCCGAAGTTTTACGCCAAGAAACAATATATTGCTGCAATTTTTTCTGAGAAACAATGATTCTGCTGATTTTATGGTAAAGCTAGCATAGCCATAGCTATATCTAGGCAATGAATAAGGCTATAGAGCCCATCTTGGCGGCATGTTTTATTGCTAATTAATTGCTGTTGATTGGTACATTGGCCAATACCCAAAAACTATACCATCATCCCATAGCACAAAAAACTCATCCCCAGAAAAATCAAGATATCGGCCAAAAACTTGGAAACCAAAAAAAGTGAATCGCTAGGAATTCGTTGCTGAAGTTTTACGCCAAGAAACAATTTATTGCTGCAACCGTTTCTGAGAAATAATGGTTATGCTGACTTTACGGTAAAGCTAGCATAGCCATAGCTATATATCAGCAATAAAAGAGAGAAAAATATGCTCACTATATTTATGTTAATAATTGTACTGATGATGACTATATTAGATTTTCCCACCTAAGAGCTGAATGTAAACAACTGTCTGAAATTTGCTTCAGCAACTATATTAAAGTTATAGATACTGGCCTAAGAAATGATCCAAAATCATTTTGGAAGTACATAAATGATAAGCGGTCTAGTCATAACGTACCTAACTCCTTATTTTATCAAGTCCAATATGCAACAAATGGTCAAGACATAGCTAATTTATTTTTGAACTTCTTCCAAACTGTGTATTCACCAAATAACAACAACCTTTACATACCTATCCATCCATTCAATAGCAACTTTAGTACAAATATTTGTCCTTCTAAGATTACCATGAGTGATATTTTTAATGGCATAAATGAGCTGCAAAATAAGCTTACTGCTGATCCAGATGGTGTGCCTAATTTTTTATTAAAAAAGTGTGTCTGTACCCTTGTAATACCATTTGTTATATTGTTTAATAGATCTCTAGAAACTTCTGTGTTTCCTTCATCATGGAAAGAAAGTTATGGTGTTCCTATATTTAAAAATGGTCAGAAAGACAATATTGAAAATTATCATAGCATTTGTATACAAAGCAACTTTCTTGGTTATGTAAAGGCTTAATATCTCAATCGCAACATGGTTTTCATAGCAAAAAATCCACTGCAACAAATTTGGTTTGCTATCAATCTGATATATTATCTCATATGGAAGACCGTAGACAGGTAGATGTAATATACAGAGATTTTTCCAAGGCATTTGATCGTGTAGATCACCAAATACTATTGGGCAAATTAATTAATGTAGGCTTTCATGTCAGGTTTGTTGAATGTACTAAAAACTCTACATCTGGGAGAAGTCAAAGAGTGAAGATAGGTTGTCATCTATTGGAGATAGCTCTCCAGCGTTCTGGTTTTCCAGCTGTTCTCCGTGCGTAGAGGTTTTCTCCCCGGCTCTTGAACTCAATTTTTGCAATGTATGTTACCTGAAGTCATATTTAATTTAATAATGAACATCACAGTTTTTTAACATCAAGATGTATAATCTTTTATAACTATATGTAATTTAAAGGCTGTTTACCCATGTATTTTTGGTGGCTCAGGCATTTTAACCTAGCGATTTTAAACCTGATGATGGACTGTTTAGTCCGAAAACGTTTGTTTTTTTGATGTAGCCCTTTTAAGGGGTTTTAAATAAATATACCCACTTATGAAGACTAACCTCTTTTTTTTTATTTTGAGTTCCTCAAGGAGACCACACTTCTCCACTTCTTTTTAATATCTTCATTAACGACATCACCTCCTGTTTCCTAAATAGCAAATGTCTAATGTTGGCAGACGACTTAAAATTTTGGAAAGTTATAGAGACATTTAAAAGATCAAGCCTTGCTACAAGATGACTTATGAGTCTTATGACAGACTAAAAAATTGGTGCATTCAGAACAAACTCCACTTAAATGTAAAAAAATGTTGTTATATAAGTTTTTCTCGTAAAGTCAATAGAATTGGAACAATCTATACTGTTAATAATCAGCCACTGAATTATGTTTCTTCTATTCGGGATTTGGGTGTGATTTTCAATGAGAAGCTTACTTTCTGTGACCACATAAACTCTATTTCAATAAAGACATCTAAACTTCTTGGTTTCATTACTAGGAATTGCAAGTATTTCTCCATTAATTCAACAAGATTAGTGTATTGTTGCTTAGTTAGAACTATTTTGGAATACTGTTCAGTTATTTGGTCACCCTATTTTCAAAACAATATTGATACCATAGAAAGAATCCAGCATACATTTTTGAGATATTGTGCTTACCACATCCACACTACTATTGAAAATCATGATTATTTCCGTATCGAACAACAATTATCTTTCCCTTACTCAAGAACCATCCTGACATGTCAGGAGCTATATTTATATATAAGATCATACATGGATTTATTGATTGTCCAAACCTGTTAAGCCAGATTAACGGTTGTGTTCCCCATCAAGCTCTATGGTACCACAATGTTTTCAATATTCCTGTCCACAGAACAACCTATGGTATTCACAACCCATTGGATAGATACATGGGGCTATTAAATGATCGCGATTTTGATATTGTCAATATAACTTTAACTCAGTTAAAAAGATCTCTTGGTTTGTGATATGCATATTGTGATTGTTGAATTTTGTTCTTGTTATACTTTGTTTTTTTTTATTATGTAAGATTTTTAGTCTTATTTTTTTTTTTAACTTTTTAATATCGATTATATTATATGTAATTTCAAGTTTTGAATCCTAACTGTGATATTGTATATTGTAATTTAAACTATAAATGGGGTTATCCCATGTATTAAATAAATAAATAAATGAAAAAGGCTACAGAGCCCATCTTGGCGGCATATTTTGTCGCTAATTAATTGCTGTTGATTTGTATAACGTATGTGTATCCTCTAGCGCAAAACTCATCCCTGGAAAAATCTAGATATCAGCTAAAAACGATGAAACTAGAAAAGTGAACCGCAAGGAACTAATTACTAATTTATTGTTGAAGTTTTATGTCAAAAAACAATAAGTAGCGTATGTGTATCCTCTAGCGCAAAACTCATCCCTGGGAAAATATAGATATCAGCCAAAAATGATGAAACTAGAAAAGTGAACCGCAAGAACTAATTTTTAATTTATTGTTGAAGTTTTGTGTCAAAAAACAATAAGTACATTGCTGTAACCGGTTCCAAGAAACAATGGCTATGCTAACTTTACAGTAAAGCCAGCCTAGCCATATTTATACCTATGTATAATAAAAAGGGTTACATGTTTTTGAAAAAGCGTGAAATATACTATAATCTATGCTAGTTATTATCTTAGTGGTCACATATATTTATCCACACATACCACAAATACCATCATAATCGTCAATATATTTATTAATCAGAAAACCGATAGGTCTATTCAGTCTATCACAGCCAAGGACAGCTTCCCCGGCATCCAAGAGGTTTTCCAATTGTACAAAAAATAAATAAATAAAAATAATATCCAAACTTACCAATTCCCATTCCAAAAGCAATAGTTGCTATGATCACTTGATATTTATTCTTCATCCATCGTTCATGGACAATTTTTTTGTGTTCAGGTTGCATTTGGGCATGGTAAAATTTGACTTTAAACCCTTCCTCTTTTAATGCTGCACTCAATTCCTCAGTTTCTTTAATAGTGGATACATATATAATGCCAGATTGGTCTTTATATTTTCTTTCAAGCAACTTGGCTATGAGATTCACACAATCCTTCTTTTCAGGAGGTTTGTTTATCACCTGCAATTGATTTTAAGATTAGTTTAATATTGCTTATATCTATAAATTTAGAAAACAAAATGATCTTAAACACAGATTATTTGCATTATGCTATACTTCTCAAAAACTTCTATAGCGAAAGTAATTAATTTTGAAGAAAACCTATACATACCTCGTAATATAAATTGGGTCTATTAAAAGGTGCAGTAATAATGACTGCATCCTCTAAAGATAACATTTGTTGTATATCTAGTAAAACAGTCATAGTGGCAGTAGCTGTCAAACCCAAAATAGGAACATTGGGAAACATATCTTTAAAAAAACCCAACTGGTTATAATCTGGACGAAAATCGTGACCCCAGGTAGAACAGCAGTGTACTTCATCTAAAATAAATCAAGTTTAAAAGTTACCACAGTGTGTTTTTTAATTTAAATAGATGTTCAAAATGAGCCATTCTTCTTTCTCCCCAACCTGATGATCAATATTTTATGTTTTTACATAAAATAAATAATTATGATATTAGAATATACTTACCTATGACAATACGAACCAAATGTCCTTTAGCATAACACTTTTGCAAATGGGTCATGAACATTTTGCTTTTAGCAACCCATTCTGGAGTTACATACAAAAGTCTTAGTTTTGGATTTTCTGAGTCCATATCAGTATAAATAGTTTTTTTTTCTTCTTTGGAAGAACCAGCATTTAGAGTATTTGCGTATATTCCTAACTTTTGTAATGCCATTAGTTGATCTTCAATTAAAGATATAAGTGGAGAAACCACCAATGTAAGATTATTGTTTACAAGAGCTGGTAACTGGTAAACTAAGCTCTTCCCTCCACCTGTTGGCATGAGGAGCAAAACATCTTTTTTTGATAAAGTAGCATTTATAGCTGCTAATTGTTTTAACCGAAAATTATCAAATTTGAATGTATTTTTTAAGATTTCTTTTACTTGTCTGGTCCATGGAAATTCTTTTTCTATCCATTTGCTAGTATTGTCTTGTTTTTTTATTTTAGATATATAATGCTCTTTCTGCAGCTCTTCCTTTTCAGCTGTTAATATTGCAATCTGGTGTGATATTTCTTTCTGTTTAAGTCGTAATTCTCTTATGTTTTTTTCTAAATATGCTTGCCTTGTCAAATATTCTAAAAAAATTGATATAATTAGAATTAATATACATTCTCTGGCCAAATTATTAGATGCGCTGCTGTTTTTTAATAATTCGATGTTTTATTCGATTTTAAATGCAGTTCTTTCACATACAAACATACATGAAATGTATAAATAAATAATTTCACAATATACAAACATATTTTTCCTCTAAAAACGATGACCAGATTTCCATCTAAAGTAATGAACTGGTTTTTGCTTCTGAAAACCAGATAATACTTAAGAGATATAAAAAGAATAGATTATTGGGCAATATATGACCTAGAAATAAACCAGGATAAGTCAAAGTACTCAGATGATACTCAGAAATACAGAGCAAAAATAAGATGGTCAGTTCACATTCACATCTGACAAAGCAAGAGAATATAAATTCGAAAGAGTGGACCATTTTACTTATTTGGAGATTATTATTGAAATTGGAAGTCTAAGATTACTGATGAAATCCAAATACCTTAAAGCCCAATATTTTATATAATTAGCATATTCTTCAATGAATTCTTATACAGCCTGTTATTCAGTTCTTTTAACTATTTTTAAAACAAAACAAAAACAAAATTTGAATATTACCTTCCTCGTCCATTGTTATGGTTTATATTCGAATAAAATAACCAAAACAAATACACTTCAGTCTTAACCTAACTCCTAAACTTTGACACCGGTCAAATTAGTGACTTAACCTAAATACACTATTAAGAAAGATGTTCATATTAAGATTAATAATGAATATCTGATTCGGGTGTAACAGTATTTTCAACAGAAGCGAAGTGATTTATATTTTTTAATTCCTTAAAGTATTATTTTGAACCATAGGTTTTCAGTTTATGTTGTCTAGTCTAAAATTTTACATTTACCGCAATCTAAGCAATAATTGCTAGACTATTGGACTCAAAGAAGGAAACTGTAATTTGACCGGTAAATAGATCACATGCATGTAGGTGGTGCTAGCGTCAGGGTTTGGTATTAAAACATAACCTTATTTTATTCTGCCATTTATTTACATAGCGATTTCAGTTTTAATAATTAGGACATTTAAATCGTTTGGGCAGTGGGCACTTTTATTAAAACATTATAGTATGCCTTACAATTGTTGTGTGTCACAATGCAAGAGTGGACCATTTATACTATATACCTGTATATACTATATTATTTATCTATGATTAGGACATTTAAATCATTTGAGCAGTGGGCACTTTTATTAAAACTTTATAGTATGCCTTACAATTGTTGTGTGTCACAATGCAATTCAGTTTCCAATAAAACTGACAATTTTAAGTTTCATAAATTCCCATTAAATTAAACTTTACAAAAACGATGGTTAATCCTTATCAGGTCTGAAAAAATATTAGTAAGCACACAAAAATCTGTTCCAGGCACTTTTCAAATGAAAGTTATACCGTTACAAGTTTGGGTAAGTTAAAAAATACTTATCCTAATTTTTTGCATTTTTATTGTCTTGTTTTTTTTAGGACAATGGAAGATCCGTAAAAAACATGCAGTACCTACAGTAAATTTACAAAAACAACGTTGTAGACTCCAATGAATGACCCTAGGAGGAGTAATAGATATAGAAAAATACTTTGTGCAGCAGTATTGCCATCAAACAAACAAAAAGACCAAACAGAAACAGAATTATTACAAACAGTTAAGAATGATACAAAAAAGTGTGGTTCAACAGAGACACTTGCTAATAAACAAAAATCAGAGAATTTAAAAACATTTATTACAACTCAAACTGTGATAACACGGAATAAACTCAATTCATTTTGAATGACCTTTTGTCAGAAGAAACATTTTTCTGGTTTTTTAAGAAAATTATTTAGATTTTTTATTGAAGAGTTTTGAAAGTCATACATATTAAAATTCATAGTGCACTTTCACTGTTAATAATACTTATGAAATATAGACCTAATTTGTTTTATTCTACATTAAAGCATTTTTTTGCATTAGACATTCAAACTGTCTGAAAAATATTTGTTAAGTGGACCAATCATCTTTACACTTGCTTAAAAAAAATTAACTTTTGGAACATTGCAACAATTTGTGAAAACCAGTGCAAATTATCTGGACCGTACAACATATTCTATATATCATGAAACCAATACCTTTAAAAATACTAATAGCATAATCTGAAAAAGGTGAAATTATATATGTATCTGATATTTTTGGAGGCAGTATTTCAGATAGTAAAATTACAGTGCAGAACTTAGAACTTATTGAAGATATGTACTTGGTTTTTTCAACATTCATTTGTAAAAGTCCATATTTGATACTGACTTGATGTACTATTTACTAAGCGTTGCAGTGCTTCTAGACTGTCTGCAAAAACAGCGGTGTCATCTGCGAATCTTATGTTGTTCAAGATTTTTCCGTTTTGATATACTGTTAAAAATATAGGATTTTCAAAAAAATATAAAATACTGAAAGATAGAATTTCTTCTTAATTATTCTTATATATAAATAAAATAATTTATAATGTTTTATGATTTGTAATTTTAAAAATTACTTGTTACTATTTTTTTATCAACTATAATTTGTTTTAAACTTGAAAAATATAATACTTAAACAAGATTTAATTTGCTTATTTCAATAGTAAACTATGAGACAGAAAATAAAAAACAAATTTTTAAATTAAAATATCCATTATGCAAAAATGTTCAAGCTAAACATTAAATAACTCACTTATTTCACAAATTTTAAACACTGTGAAACTATAGCTGAAAATTTGCAAAAATGTATTAAAATGTATTGAGGAATAGTATGAGGTTATGATTTAATACCAAACCTCGACGTAAGCGCTCATTACGGATATTTTTTTAACTGACTTATAGCATGTGCTCTATTGAAAACTGGAGTGCACCATTACGAACCAAAGGATATAGACGTAAAGGATCTGTGCCATCTCAGAAAATACAATAAAAACCGAAAAAAGGATTTATTAAAATATATAGATATACCTGAATGATCTGTAATATGCAACTTGTTAATGCCCACAAGAAATTAGCTTCAGAACAATTGATTAATCGTTATTTGGATAGAGCTGGATAGAAGTTTTTTCAGAAAGAGATGAAAATATTAAAATTTGAATAGCCTATTTAGGATATTAATAAACAATACCTAATATTTAAGGTTAATTAAATAGATAAATATTATTAAATATCCTGTGGAATTAGTTCGGATACTACTCCAAATAGGTATGAAGATAGGAATTAAATTTAGAAATTATTATTACGACTTAACTGTGTAAAAAATATTTTACCTAATTCTTTCTACTACAATAAATTCATGTCATCATCATGTTTGGCTCTACAACCCTGGGTGGGTCTTAGCCTGTTCAAGAATTAGTCTCCATTCCCCCCTATCTTTCGCCCTGGCTTTCCAATTTCTGACCCATAGATTCCTCAAGTCATCTTCGACTTGAGTTTTGAATCTAGATCTTGGCCTGCCTCTCTTCCTGGTTCCTACAGGCTCTTGATATAATATCTGTCTTTGGGGGTCTCCAGTGTCCATTCTTAATCTAGTAGTCAATTAATTTTAATAGACCGGACGATGTTGCATTTTCCATAGCATTGATACAACTCAAAATTGTAGCGCCTGCGCCATATCCCGTTTTCTTGTACTCCTCCGTTCCTCCGTATGTGTTTAAGTATTCGTCTTTCAAAGCGGCCTAACAGTTCTTCGTAGCTTTTTACCATAGTCCATGTCTCTGACGCGTATGTCAGGACAGATGTAATAAGAGTTTCATATGTTAGTATCGGGTTTTCTGCTAATTATGTTTGATGTTAAGAACTGCTTTAGTCCAAAGTAAGCTCTGTTCGCCAGATATATTCTTCTCTTAATTTCTACGTTTACTAGGTTGCTATTATTTAGTTGTCTTGGCGAATGTGTGTGCTTCTGTCACCAGATCTTGTGGTGCCGCTATTTGTGTGTTGTTCGTGACCATGTATTTTGTTTTGGATACGTTAACCTGCAGTCCCATTGTCTTCGCGGCTTTTTTTAATGTTTCAAAAGCCTGTATCAGGTCTCTTTTTGTCCGTTTTACTATGTCAATGTCATCTGCGCAGGCCAATATCTGTACACTTCTATTGATGATCGTACCTCTGGTTGGTATGCCCGATTTCTCTATGGCTCTTTCTAGCGGGATGGTAAACAGTAGAGATGATAGACTGTCTCCCTGGCGTAATCCAGTATGTGTTTGAAAAGACCTTGACACTCTGTTTTGTACCTTGACTTTGCACTCAACTTTCGAAAGAGTTACCTTTACCAATGTTATTAGATTCGACGGAATATCTAGTTCTGCCATGGCATTATAAAGTGCGCTTCTGTCTACACTGTCATAAGCGCTTTTAAAATCTATGAAGAGGTGATGGGGTATCAATTCCATATTCATATGTATTTTCTAAGGTTTGTCTGAGAAGGAAAATCTGATCAATTGTTGACCTTTTCTTTTCGGTATCCACATTGGTATTTGCTTATTTTTTCTTCAGTTGGGCTGCCTAAATTGAGCTGCCTGTGTTTTTTGCATAGGGTAGCAGCTATGCAATTTTTTTCTAAATAAATAAAAAAAATTTCTTTAAATTAAGTATTTTTACAATACGCTTATCATTTCTATTTCATAAACAAAAAACATCTTTTGAAATTATTCCAGTAGTACCAAATAAATCCAACCCAACCAACCAACCCAACGCGATCAAACAAACATTACTTTACAACAGGACTGTACTGAGGAGATCTAAAGAGATCGAAATACGTATATGCGGCTTGTTGCTGCTCTGTATCAAATCAAAATATAATACCGTCATTTTGTTTATTTACTTCATTTGGAGTACCAGAAATCGAATTCACTACGAATATAGGCCATGATGAACCGCATTTGGAGTGCAATTTTTAGACTCCCTTGCCGATGTAATCGGCGATGAAATCGAATTCGATTTCGCCAGGTAGAAATCGTACGATTTCTCTTTTTGTTCTTAGATGGCGTAGTTACGTCCGTAAATAGTTATTTTTAATAACTATAATCTACGACGGGAAAATATTTTGGTTTGATATGGAGTAGTAACTATACCGTACTGAGGAGATCTAAAGAGATCGAAATACGTATATGCGGCTTGTTGCTGCTCTGTATCAAATCAAAATATAATACCGTCATTTTGTTTTGTAGAAGTCTATTGTTTGTATTTAGCTAATTTAAAATAATATCATAACATGAGATAAATTATTAATTTCAAAATTTCACCTTGTATTATTCATTATAGACCCTACATGATATAGTTCATTGAAATCAGGTTGTTAAAAGTATTTTAAAAACATAAAAATCTACAGGGTGTTTCATTAAAAATAAGGATTATGGACTATGCCAGACGTGCGTGGATCACCCTGTACATTTAAACTTATGTTTAAAAAGCGCACATTTAAATTTAAAAGTTAACGTGTCCCAGAGTTTTTGATTATTTTCTATCTTCTTCTAGTTCCATGACCGTTATCGATCGTTGGATATCATGTTGGCTACCATATTCGGTATCGTTACTTTATTGACAGCAGCTCTAAATAACGATGTAGTTGATTTTCCATACCATTGCCTTAGATTTTTCAGCCATGATGTTCTTCTTCTACCAGGACCACGATTACCTTGGATCTTTCCCTGAATGATCAGATGTAAAAGATCATATTTTTCAGGGTGTCTCATAATATGACCGAAGTATTCCAGCTTGCGTTTCTTTATTATATTGACCAGTTG